GTATACCTAAGAATATACCTATAGGTGTATCGAATTCATTATTGATCCATTTCGATTAATTCCACACCGTTTAGCTATTATCCAATAGCTAATGGTGCAGTCTAAGAAAAAATGTATAATTAAATAAATACATTTTTAGGACCTAACCATCCCCCCCCCCACGATCAACGTTCATGGCAGCGCGGACGATAGTCCAGACATCTAAGTAGTTTCCCTCTCCGTTCTGTCATGCTATGATCGCCGCCAGCCTGTCACCGTCGTACTCGTCGGATCAACGATCCATCGGTTGCCTTTTCACTACGGCCGTGCTCGAGGTAAAGTGCAGTGTGTAGTCTATGTGTTGGTCGGCATTTTTGTTGATCCCCATCGTTCGGTCACAATTTTCGTTTATTGACTGACGTACCGCAATTTGTTGTGTACTGGACAGTATCGCAGTGTGAAGTATACACGTGGGCCCAGTGTTGGGTAGTCACGTAACGCAATTACTTTTTCAGTAGCGCAGCAGTAATTGCATTACATTTTACTTAAAGTAACGCAATTTATTGTAATGCAATTACTTTTTAAAAGTGATTTCTATGAAATAAGGCACTAAAGAGTTATTTTCCACGTTATTTATTAAAATAAGTTTTAAAAGTATTACAAAAACAAGCCGATAAGGTATCCAGAATCAATTTTATTTATTTTTGATTCCGTAGATTCCGATAATAGTTAACAATATTATTAAACATTCCAGGAATTAATGTAATTACTTCACTGGCAGAAAGAAAAAAGTTTGGCTTAAAAATAAAATTGAATTAAAATTAATTATGATATATGTACTACTATACTGCCTGTCTACCTATATGGCTATATACACATTTAAACTTATATACCTGCCTACGTCGATGTTAATACCTTCCTAGACTGCAGTCACCATTTACAATACTATATTATAATATATACTACCTAACCAGAATATAAATTGTAATAATATTAATTATATATAACACATTATATGCATACGAATAGCATAGGTATTACCATTACTTATTACTAATATCATAGACATGTGTAGTTTGAGTTTAAACCATAAAGCCATATAATAGATTAGATTATTGTACATTTACATAATATTATTTTGTAATTTGTACATTATAGGTAGGTCTATGATTGTAATTTGTAAAATACTTCATAATATGAATTTAATATGGTTAAAAAAAAATGATATCTATTATCAGAGTTAAAAAAAAAAGTAACTTTATTTGTAACGCACTACTTTATTTATGAAAAAGTAACGTAACATGATCAAAATATATTTAGGTAACGCAAATGTAATTTAAACAAAAATATTTGAAGTACGGAGTAACTTAATTCCATTACTTTTTTAAAAGTAATTTACCCAACACTGGGCCGTTGCATCTACGCTGCCCAGTAGGTACCGAGTGCCGGCGCCGTGCACTTGCCCCACATCCACTTTGTGATCACTGATCACGATATTATAATCTGTCGGTCGCAATGTCGCCAAGCACGGTTTTTTTTTGTGCTTCAGCGATCCATCTTTCATCGTCGTCCAACGATGTCAGGATCAGGGTCCCTGTGCAATATGCATCTTGAATGCCGGCGTGGTGAACTAGAAATGTAAGTCGACAGTGCCACCAGAGGACCCGGTCTTAATATATTGTACTATGTCTATAGTATTATTATTTTGTTTGCACAGTTGTGCATGTCATTTTTATATTATTATTTTCACAGTTGTTTCTGCGGCGCCCTGTTAATATATTATTAATATTATTTTTGTAACAATTATTTGAGTCACGACAAATGTCGTAGTACCTACTATTTATTATATATATTTTTGTGAGATCAACGACTCCCGTTACAATTTATATTTTATTAGCGTAAAAACTTGTGTTGGTCACCTTGTTCATCTATCCATGCGAGTCGCGGCAAACAACTAACTTATTTATAAGATTCGTAAGATATTACAACAATTGTCTTTTTTTCCTTCCACAAACTTCTTAAAACACCGTTCTCGGGTACTCATTTCTCTCTCAGTTTTCGATATGACACCAAAGTATACAGTGGCACCCTAGTCCTACGACGATTTTCAAAACCGTGGAACGTCAACGAGAGCGAAAACAGAACTTAGGATAGAAAATGGGCAATTCGCGACAAAAACACGTAGGTACAATGATTACAACGAATACAATGGTACTGACGAAACACAACGTCACTGACGTACATATCGATATCGTATTACTATAAATATCATAGACGTAATTTCTGGGGTGCACTTGCACCCCCTGGAATTGTTGAGGGGTTGCAGAAATTTTAATTTGCCCCCCTAAATTGTCTATATTTATTATATTTAACTAATGCCAAATTTTTAAATATTTATAAAATAATTATAGTTTTTCCTGCTTATGAAGGCATGGGTAAAACGTAAAACTCACCTCAGAACAACTATGGAACAAAGAAGACTGTCTAATGTAGCTATTTTATAAACTGAGAAATCGAGTTATAGATTCCGAAATTGTAATTGACGAAATCAATGAAGCAGTAATAATCGTACACGGTAGACGCTAAGTTTAATTTATGTACTAAAATTTATTAGATCAATATTCAATGTAATAATTAATAAATCACAGTATACTAATTATTTATGTATAAACATTTACTTAGTTCATATTAATGATAACACTAAATTGTGTATACAACTGTATTTATCCTGATTAGTTTTACACCGACTGAATTTTAACGAAATTATGCCTATGATCAATATCATTGTAGTTTGATCTGTCGAAGATATTGTACCTAAGTGATGAGCGTTTAATTAAAGTTGTCGTATAGCGTTTTCCACCACGTCAGGTATCAATACGTTCAACAGGTACAAACACGTCTGCACTAGTGCAGCTTTTTTATGTTTCCCCAACTATACCAGTGTGCACTAAATTACTAATTTGATGTTTCACGTTACTGCACTATGCGAGTTTTTTGCACCAAATGCAGTGATAGTCATTGGTCGTAGGACCTCGTGCGCCTTGACATTATGACGATCACGGTCTTAGAAGATAAAAATTAATTAATTAATCTTCTAATACCGTGATTGCGATAATGTGAGTTTTATCTGCACTTGCCCCAGCCTGCACCAGAACGATTATCTGTGACCTATATCAATGCAACCTGGGTGCAACAGTGCGTTAAGATGGAAGACGCTATTAATTGATTTGACAGTCGGCCGGTCGAATTATCGAGCAATATTTTATAGATAGTCTGTGGTATAGTGTGTGTTTTATGTACGAGTTCGAATACATGCATTTTAATCAAAACTAGTTTTTACTGACTGATTTGAACTTTTAATTCTAGTTTTAACTAGTTAAGACCTGCAGAAGTGACTAAGAGGATTTGCGAAAACTAGTTTTGACTAGTTAAAACTAGTTTCAACGGATTTCGGGTTTTAACTGTAACATTTAAATGTATTTTATACCTAACTAAACACCAGCCGTAGTCTAGCGGTAACCAAACTTGTCATGGGTGTGATACCCATTTTTATACAAAACATTTTAACATAACACGTATTTTAATAAGCATTTAATAAAAATCATATAATAGTATGTATAAAATAAAGTACTTGGCTAATTTGTGAATAGATAACAAAATTATTTTTTTATGTATTTTTTTCAGAGAAATACCTCAAGTATTTTTAGTATATGGTATACATTGTAATAAAACATTAAATAGGTATATTTCTTATATTAGATATTAGTATAATATATTAGTAAATAAATCATTGTTATAAATATGATAAATTAATTTTTTGTTATTGATAAATTATAGATAATTACTAATTAGGGAATTTATGAAGCAATGGATCTAAATAGTATAACTAATAATATACCTAGCTAATATTCTTATCGTTTTTCGGTGCAGTATTTTTTTTTTAATACTGCCCTGTGTGACCTAGTCCGAAAATATTATATAATATACAGGGAGATTTGTTTCACGTTAGTTGCTTATTATTTTAAAAACTATGAATGTTTTTAAAAATATTAATTTTTACATTACCTAGTCGAAGTCATTACAAACAACATTAAAAAAAAATTATTTCACTAACTGTTAATATTATTTATTTACTTTTTTGTCGAAATAGATTTGACTAAATTTCGATGAATAAATAACTAGTAATTAATTAAAAGTAGGTTTAGTAATTTTTTATACTTGGAATGAGTGGCATAGAGCATAGGGATACTCCGTAAATATTTCTCCATCACCGCTCATCTAATAGGTACTTTTAAAATTTTAAATACTTATAAATTAATATTATAACTATGGACGAATCGTTTGAAATTCAAATTTGTGTACATCAAAATACACAAATAAATATTCTAACTTGGAGTGAGGGAGTAAAAAAGGATGTTATCATTCAAAAAGTGAATATAATAAAAACAATTAAAACAGTAAAAAATAGTAAGTGGATACCGCTTTGCAGTAAATTAGGTATCGTAGGATGACTGTAATAGATGTATTAAATTTGAATTCAATGATAATAGATCATGGCTTACGAAAAACGATTCTGAGCAAAGACAGTGCCCCCCAGCCCCCACCCCCCGACAATTAGAACCAATTAGCCACCTATGGATACCTATATATTACATTTCTTCATTATCTATACTTATCTATACAATTGTTAAGTTCAGATGACTTATCTATAACTAGATAAAAAAATACTATCGAAGCAAACCCAACTGGGCATGGTACAAATCCAGATAATAATATAATGTTCTATCGTCATTTGATTGAACATAGCATAGGTCACTAATAAGAAAAAAAAATTTATCATTTTTATTAGACATCACAAAAGCTTAACCTTTGGGGTCAAATACTAAATTAAGTTGTTTTATTAAGTAAAAATATATGACTCATTATAAAGTATGAAATATAAATTTGTTTTATTAAATTAAGAAGGCACGATTTATAAAATATCTTAACTTCTTTCATTCAAACTAAATAATATTTTTATAATATACAACTTTATTTATACAATTTTAAAGTAGTCGTTTTTCTACTAAGCGAATGACTATAGTTTTTTTAAATAATGATTTTATGTTAAAAGAATCACGCTGTATGTATAAAATGTTAGAGCGACAATCACTGCATTTACCAGTAGTATCGGCAGTCAATATTTAACTCTCGTCCAAAGCACTTGGATACCAGCACGTAGGTAAATTTAATGTTCGTTATTTTTTAAAATATAATATACATTTGAAATAGATCATACCAGTTGTAGTACATTTAATGGGTTGATTTCAAGATATTTAACATAACATTATATTAATATGAACTAAATAACTAACTATTAACATTAGTTAAAATATTATTACAGCTACGCTTGCAGAACAATTTCGTAGGACATCAAACTGAAGAATACAATTGATCGGTATAATTATGTCTAGTGACACCGGCCCGACTAGTTTGTATACTAAGTTCTATATAATATTTCAGGTAATTTTTTTATTTTTAATTATATTATTTACTTAATAGTATAGTAATATATTTGGCTGTTTGACATAAGCGCCAAAGGTTAGGTTAGGTTATAACTTAACTTTCCTAAGTCGTTCGATTTTTAAAAAAATTGCCAATAATATAATTTTAATAAATTGGTTGATTCCTACGAATACGCAGATTAAGATTAAACTTTGGAGTTTTGAACGATTTAGTTCTAAGTTTAACTATTAAACCTACCTAACCTACCTGGGATTTTGGCGCTTTCTTACCATCATACGATTTTGGTACTTTCGTACGATACGACTTTTTTTTTTGCTTATCTCATTTGGCGCTTATGTCTTCCACCGATATGTTTAAACAATTTTATTTTATCAATGATATTCGTTCTGGGACAAATGAAGTTTAGTGTTCCCCCTCATCATTTTAAATATCTTTTAACCCAAACTTGTGTAACTCATCGATCTAAGAACGATGGTGCAATTAGATGCCATTCGTCCTTCGTTTAAGTTATAGGCAAATGAAGTAAAAAATTTCGCAATTTTGCGTAAGCGCTACGCAAACACACAGCATTCTATTTTACATATTTACCTCGCCTTTCATGAATTAAATTTTTTTTTTTTGAATAAACGTTTTTTTTTATGCTGTTTTGGTGAAGTAATCAGCTTTTGGCCACCATACTTACTTTTGTGGTGCATCAACAAAACCATTCATAACTACACATGCTTCAACATAACAATATAGTTTTATGCCGTGCCTATTGGAGCACATCAAAAATCCTTCTTGGGGTATCAAATTCGAAAGTTGTAAACGGTCGATGACACGTCTTAAAGAAAAGTGGACACTCGCTTCGGGGTTAAAAATATCATATTATTGAGAAGAGAAATAATATTTATATCAGACATTTTATTTTAAAAGTATAATAAAAGCTAACGTGCTAATGTTGTGGTGACTAGGCCAAAAGTATGAAGTATTTAAATTAAATAAACTAATTCCACTATAATTCGTCTCATAACAAAAGTATAAAATAATAGTATAATATCTTATCGTAGTATTAAGTACGTTTCATTCGTAAAGTATAAATACTGAGATGATTAAAAATTACATCCATCTTAACTAGTTATGAAAGGCAAAACTACGCTAAACTAAAACTACGTATTATACCATGTATATTATGTTAATTATTAATTATTGTTTTAATTATATCATTATATTATTCCTATATATTAAAATATATACTAGCTCCGGTCGGAAAACTCTAGGGTAGGACATCTCGGTTAGGGGCTCGGCCTAACTTTTAAGGTGAGAAAGTTAGGGTATAACAGACCTCTCGGTTGGTTTTTTTTTTGTTCAGACTTATTACATAAAAAATCAATGTAATAAAAAAAAAGGTAAATTTATTCAGTTTTCGTTAATACACCATAAAGTTAGTAAGTAGGTATATAAGTACTGTGCAAAAAATTGATAGCTCCATCAAGTTCAGTGTAAAAAACCACATATTTAAAAAAAAAAATGTTTTGTTCATAAAAGGCTTGTTAAAATAGAGTTCTGTCATGTGTATGCGTAAGCGCAAACGGAAAATTGCGATATAATTTATTTCCTTAAGTTATAAATTAAACGAAGGCCGAGCGATGACATCTGATTGCACCATCGTTCTTATATCAACGAGTAAGAAAATAAATAGGATAGAATGTATATATATAATATATATATACATTCTTATATCGATAAGAAATTCAAAATGGCGAGGAGGACTTAAGTGTACATATACCTTTAAAGGTACATATAACAATTGTTTTTATGAGTTTTAATTTTAGATTGTTGGATTAACACTAATATATTGTGTGTACTATTGGATTGTTCAATATCGAGGAGGATTTAGTTTCACTGAACCTAAAATAATATTCAATTGGCATCCATTACTGATGACAATTGCATTCATTTATTTACTGGCAAATTGTAAGTTTTAAAAAAATGTATTATTAGGATTTATAAGACATAATATTGTTTAAAATATTTTATTCCAAATCAAATCAATATCTTTAAAAATTTATAATATTAGGTATGCAAGTTAGGTATTAAATATTAAGTATATTCAGAACTTATAAATTAATTAATATGCAGCCCTGGATTACCGTGTATGCGAGGTATTGTCCATGTGCCAAGGGTTTGACATTGGACAGGGCTATTTTTATCCAAAAAAAAAATAAGAATTTTCTGAAATTTCGATTGTTAAATTAATTTAATTACCAGCCCCAGCTGTAGGATGTTAGTCCAACAAATTCATTCATTATTATTTACAAAAAAACTTTTCAAAATGCACATATGTGGGAGCTGTGTCGAAATACTTTATGTACTGTACGTTTGTGGCAGGGGATGGATAATAATGGTCAATCTGATTTATGAAATTGAATTGTACCTAAAATAATAAATTTAAATTAAGTTCTCAAATTTTGAATAAACAAAACAAGTAAATACTGTAAAAAATATTCTAAATTTTTAACTTGAAATGCTCCAATTGTCTTACCTAAATGTGATATTGATTGTGTTATTTACATTATTTATTTTGTTTTCAGCTATTCTTCATTATCGTTCATTTCAGAATAATACCAAACGAAAATTAAAAAACCAACATGCACTTATTCATGGTTGTATACTAATCCTTATCTTAATTGCTGCATTTGCTGCATTTGTTTCACACCAATATGCTAAACCTCAAATTCCTCATTTGTATTCTTTGCACAGTTGGTTAGGAGTTATGACTGTCGTATTGTTTTTATCCCAGGTAAGCTGACCTATTACACAGGTGTGATAATAATATTTATTTACGGAATTCGATTTCAATTACAATATAAATGAGACAGTGTAATGTTATAATAGTATATAAATATCAAACATACCTATATAATATATATATATATACATGGGTTTAAAATAAACAATTACAATTAAAATATAATACATTGAAGTATTTAGTTTGATAAGTAGGAATATGAAATGTAATATACAATTATGGTAATAATGAATAAAGTATATATATTTAAAGTTTAAACTATATGAATAAATAAAATAAAATTAATAGGTAATGGGTTTTAACTAATAATTACCTACTTGTAACTGTAATGAAAATTCGTTCTGAGATAAATTGAAAAAATCTATATCTTTTATAAATTTACCTTGAGTAATATTAAGACATTGCATGGAGAATTCAATAAGTAATTTCTTTTGTAGTGTTTTTTATGTAGAATAAGAACTTATCGCATGATCCTTTATGTTTATTTTAAATATAATAAGTTCGGAGCAATCGGCAGTAGATTATTTAATTTAGTAATTGAAATTATTTTTGTGAAATAACTACCACTTTTAGATTTGGTAGATTAAAATGTCCTTAGACATCTGCAGGCTGCAGTATACTCTGAATTTGAAATTTTTTCGATAAGGCAATTAATTAAAAGAAACCTAAATAAGTTATTTTGAATTGCAAATAACATATGAACCTAAATGATTTAAAGGATTTGAGTGCATAAAATATAAATATGACTGTAAGGGAGGTATGTATTCTAACTGTTGAACTGTAAGTGAACTAATGGGAAATAGGTAAAATAATTTAAAAAAAGTCTCGTCCTGAAAGTACCTACAGGTTCGTTTTAAATTAGCCTAACTTCTGAAATACCTTATTTTTACGAAGTTAATTGTCAATATTGCAAATGGTTAGGTACCAATAGACTATTTTGAATCAAAATTAATACGAACATCGTTAGCCATGATTAATAGTTCACTACGATACCATTATTCTTTTTTAACAAAAATGAAATATTTATATTTCATTTAAGTTCTAAGATAAATGTACATATATTTACCCAAGACTGGTTACTATTCTAATCAATATTTTGCAAACATTCTGTATCTCTTGAATTCTTTATTTCCTAAAATATTGATATGTGCACAAATAGGTACAAGGGGTTCAAAAAGTTTAGAAACGGTCATTGGACTATAGTTAGGACTGATACATGAATGTGATATCAGTAATCTGGTGATTAAATATTTTACCTAATAAATATGCAGCAGTATTATCTACCTATTATTGTTAGAGGTAGGTATAAAAATATAAAAACAGCCGCGGATATTAGAGCGTCTACAACTTTTTTTGAACATCTTATAAATATGTTTATTTTTATATCATAAATTAATACTATTATACATAAAGTTGCATTTTTACCAATGTATATGTTTTATACTTCAATATAGCTAATTAGTGGATTCTGGTGTTTCTTGTATCCGGGAGTAGCTGCACGACACAGAGAAACTTTGGCACCTTATCACGTGTTCTTCGGCATTTCCAACTTCGTATTGGCAGTTGCGACTGCCATACTAGGATTCAGTGAAAAAATAATTTTTGTTTTGTACGTGTTTTTTATTTTAAAGGGGGAGAGGGTCACAAATCGCCGTGTAGTATCGTGTTCCGTATATTCAATGCATATAGGTGACAAAATGTTGATCACTCGTTATCTATATGAATTCAATATACGGACCACGACACTGCACGATGAGTTGCGAACCTCCCATAACTTGGTTGAACGTTTACTACAATTTCAATGTTTTTACAGGGATAAACAATATAAACTGTTCCCGGCAGAAGGTGTGCTTGGAAACGTTTTAGGTATTCTTTTTGCGTTCTACTGTATATTAGTGGTTTATATGATTACCAAACCTGAATTCAAGAGACGCCCTAAACTAGAATACGAGACTCTGCTTAAATGAAGTTTTAGAAAATGTAAGTTTTAAAGTTCTGTATTTTGCCACTCAAGTGAAATATTTTACTAGATGTCGACCAAATTAAAATAGAACAAATCAATATTTTCCATTTATTCGATTTATACTATTTTGATACTTTTGTAGATGTATTTGCAAATTGAAATTAATTAATATTTAAATATTCGTTCAGTATTTGTCATTAGAAATGTTTTATCTAAATGCAAAATTAGCTGAAGAAATCTGTAATTAGTAATTAGGTATTTAACCACCTACTACCTACTAATTAATAAATATATTATATCAGTTAGTGGCGCACACAGATATTTTCAATGTGAAGAGTTACCTATACATTAAAAAAGTATATATATCAAAATATTTTTTAATTGTATTCATTTTTAATTTCTATACGTATAGTAAAATAAATACCATGGGAGGGTGCTAATACTTATAATCTGTAATAAAACTAAAAATAATTGATGTTGTATAGTTTATTGTTAACGAAGTTCTACAGTATATTATATTATTTATAATTGTTACTTTTGACCATGACTCAGCTATAAATTATTATAAGTAATAATATAAATAATAATAAATGTTATACATATCTATTTAAATTATGGTTAATTATATATTATTTATCATGCATAAAATAAAAAAACCATTGTAAAATTATTTTTAATAAATAAAAAAAGTAAAAAAACAATATTAATGTTCTTGAAAATGATAAAAGCGATAAAGTAAAAAAAAGTTAGGCCCTTTTAAAGAGGTTTTTCATTGTTTATGGGGGCGCATGTAAATTCCGCCCGAAAAAAATGTATTACTGTTAATAAACAAATTTCTGAATGTGTCTTATTAATCATATTATTACTGACATAACATAGATTAAACATTATAATTTAGAAGTGGGTATTTAAATAAATATATATTTCACATATTAAGTCAATAATTACAACATAAATCATGTATAATCGTAAGAATAGTAATAATTATAAAAGTAAATATAACAATCATAATATTATAGTAAAATAAAATCATCATCAATAATTAGCACATAATATTATAAGTCGTGTATATTGTATAGCATATAAAATTGTTAAAAATTGTTAAAATAGTAATAATTATAATAATAAATACGAGTCAAAATATCACTTCCATACTATTTATTTTTTGTTCATGTTCGAACATTTTGTGACTTCCTAATACTATAAGTTATAACACGCGCCGCGTGGCGAAAAGTACGGTCGCGTCATACAATCACTGAACGCGTAGTTTAAAAATATTTATTTTTCCGGGCGGAACTATTTTTGTACCTGTATATTTTTTTGGGCAGATTTTACATGTACCTTTTTTACTTGGATATTTTTCCGGGCGGAATTTACCATATACCTTGTTTTTACCTGTTCATTTCGGGCGGAATTTACAATCTCCCGTTTATGGTACCATTGGTACCTTATACTATCATAATATAAAGCCGGACCATCACTTACCTCCGGGACGCTTTGGATAATAGTCCACACTCTAGTCTAGTATACTACTTTGTAGGCATAAATGTTTAATGTTATTAACTTATTTTTATTAAAAATGCTTAATAAGTTTAATTAGTGTGTGCGAGTTTCCATGTACTTACAGTAGAACTTCGATTAACCGTCACTGTCGGGACCGGGGCTATGACGGTTAATCGAATAGACGGTTAACGGAAATTTTGCAAAAAAAACGTGTGCATACATATATGTACACACATTTATTATATTTTTTACGTGTGTGTAATTTAAAAAAAAAATTACTTACATATAACATATAAATTAATTATTATAACACATATAAATTATAAACATATATACCACACATATTATAGAAAAAAATCTGTAACTTTAGTTTGGTTTTTTGATTCTCTAGCTTTTTTAGCAGCAATATTACGTATTTGACGTAGAAGTAAGACTTGCGTAGCATTTGACAATCGTCTAATCGCCTTATTATTTATTTTTTTTGGCGATGACCTATGACGGATAACTGAGAGTGACGGTTAATCGAGTGACGGTTAATCGAAGTTCTACTGTATTTAAATTTTAAATTTTAAGTACCTTACAGCTGGATTTAATATCCATGTACATTACATTGTATCCACATTTTATTATATTGGATAAGTTATTTGTTATTTAGTCGTACATTTTATTATTTGAATTATATTCAATTTTATTACAAATTTTGTCGGAATCGAATAATTATATTTCATCGAAAAATAGAAACCTAAGAGCAAAAATAATTTAAATTTAACAAGTTCATCGCCTGAAAGGGGAAAATTTTTGTCCGTAAACAGACACATATAAAAATACACAAAACTCTGAGAGTTACTCTATCTGGAGACAACATTTGAAACCAACTAAATCCACCGGTATTCTCCAGTACATCTGATCCACCATTATTTATTATTAGGTATTTATTTATTTAATTTTATTTAATGTATATACACATATATTTAGCCATGATAATATTCATGAAGACAAGTTAAATATGGTGACCAAACTCATTATGGCCGACTAGCTGGTGCCAATTCGACAGAACAATATAATTGTTATCTATCGTTTGTTGGTACTTTCGAGTCTTGACTCTTGGTAATTGTTAATTGTAATTGTATTTATTACTAATTATCAGTGTCAGACCACAGCAAAAATGTATTCAAAAAGTTAAAAAAAAAACTAAATTGAAAATACAAAATTACTACTTAATAGCAAATTAAATGTGGATAGGCTTTTTATTTTTATGGCAGTTCAAAAGAGTCGTTTTCAAAAAAAGGTGGGAATGCACACACTCCCAACATCCATAGTATAAATTAATGACGCGTCTCGCCGACAACTATTTCGCTGTAACCACGTCATGTATTTGTTCTTCGTTACCAGGTTATCAGCGTAGGATGCTCAACGTCACGATTTTCTGTTATCACCATAATAACATTTGATAATAACCATTATCCATCACCCGTTAAAACGAAGTGTATACGTATTTATTTTTTACGATGTTAAACGGTGTCTTGAACTGAGTGTCTTGAGTCTTAGTTCATCGATCGACAAATTGTGTTGTAGACTGTTGAGAAATCGTTTGTCAGACAAAATCAGCTATCCATGCATTCTCTACTGTCCCGGGGCAACTCGGTGCTGGCGTACACGCTCAGCGTACTCGTCACTCTCACGTTCGCATGTTTTCTTTCCACCATATTGGTCGATTACCGGACTGGTACCGAGATGCAGACGCTCAAAATCGAAGTGTAAGTATATAGATCAATGACAGATGACCGACCTCGTCTTGGGTACGCGAAGTGATGCCCGAGAACACTCTTGTATGATTGTACCGTTAACCTACGTATTTGTTTTCAGAAAAAACTTACCAGAGTATGGTGTATCCAAAAAGATCAATGACTTGGGTCACATAACATTCAATCTCGAAACAGATATCCTTTTTAAATTTGTACACCTAATATTAATATAGTCTTAAAATTGTGTTGTATAGCGCTTAACAGGTACCTTAAAATGTTTGATTATTCAATGTTCTATCGTAAATTTATATATTGTTTACATCTTTCAATTAATTCAATATTGAAAAATGTTCTATCAATTTCCCTGTGTTGTACTCATGTTGACTATGAATTCTACTATTTTGTTGAATTTTCTGATTTTTGATACTGATAAGTGTTGAGAAGAATACTTTTCTTAAAATCATTAAGACTCAAGTAATTATTGATAACTTTTCAAATATATTTTTTGCTGTCTTATTGAAGAATGGCATAAGTCCCGGGCAAGATGCCTTGAGTCAACTCTTCTTGAAAATACTAATTTTTTTTTTTAGCTAAAAGTTATTAATTATATAACAAATTTATATTACCTAACTTAATAAATATTTTAATGTAAATATATAGTGACTATATTTATTACTGAAATGTCTGACTGTATTATGAAAATTCAGTTATTATAATGTATTATTTACTTAACCATCTGTGCACATCTCACTAGCCTATTCAATTGGAATGTTAAACAATTGTTTGTCTACATGACTGCAGAATATGAGACACCTACAAATGCCTTGAATCAAGTAAACTACATATTATGTTAATGAAAATAGTTTTATTGTTTTGCTTAACTACTTGCTTAATACATATTTTGTCTCATGTTCTATTTATTTTAGGTAGTTTTGTGGGACAAGATTATTTTGAGAGGACAGAACTCCAACTTGCGTCTTAAAAATATGCGAACAAAATATTACTTTTGGGATGATGGTAATGGTTTAAGGTAATTGAATATCATAATAATAATTTTTTACAAAAAAAAAGTATATATAACATATATATTTGTTTTTACATAAAAATACTTAAGTCTAATTTATCACTAAGAAACAGATAACAAATACATTGTTAGGTATATTAGTATATAATGTAATATGCACTAATCAAATTTTAATTTTGATTTTCAATAATCAATTGGACAATATAGTTTATATTAGTTTTAAAAATTTCATTCTTAGTTGTTACAAGTTAAAATCACAGGATAGTATGTCATTGTATAAATAATACTTAAAAATGTTATAATAGCATACTATACTGACAATAAATAAAATTTTTATACTTATGTTATGAAAATCATTGCTTAAACTAATCATTTTTATAATTGTTAATTATTTCTACCATTAAATTTGCATTCAGATTTGTTCTCTTCATTAATTATATAAGAATATAGATTAAAATTATGATAAAAGTAGATAATTCAGTTATAATTATAATGTTTTACAGAGGAAATAAAAACGTGACTCTAACCCTGTCCTACAACATCATACCAAATGTGGGGCGACTGCCAATTGTGGGTGCCATCGGATCTCATACATTTAGTTTTCCCTCACAATATACACGATGATGACACAACATTGTTCCTGATTTGAATATATGAATATAATATTATGTTATATGTTAATGTATGTTTTTTTCTTCAAAATTATTTTATTATTATCTAAATTTAAGTCCAAATGATTGTGTTCATGATTTGTTTGTGTTTCCTAAATTATTATAATGACACAATTATTAATGGCATTTGAATTTAATATTTTGATAAAGCAATGGTAATGTATTAAGTTTACGTAGATTCCAAAATCGTATCTGGTTCTTTTTCTGTGGACAGATCACTGGATATTTTCAATAGTTTTCTAAGTGTCTGTAAAATAAAATAAAACATAATATTTTATCAACAATTAAACCAAAACAATATTAAAATTAAATAAAATTGTGTTAAAGGAAATTTCTTAAATAATTTTAATAACAAGACAATGTATATATTTTTAAGTATTTAACTTATGTTATACACATATTTATCTAATAAATTGAATTATTAAAACCATTGATTAAAAAATATTTACCATTTCATTAATTGAGTGAATAAAATTAGTGAAGTTATATAAAATAATAAAATAACCTTTTCATGACTCCAAACACAATAATGACCCTACAGCTTGAAAAAATAATATTAGATTTTTGCAAAATAAATAAACCTGCTTTACAATATAGTATTGATTTAAAAAATATATATTTGAGAAACAAAAAGGAGTATCTATTTTATTTACAAATGTTTAGTCTCAACACCAGTTGTCACATTTATGCATTTAACAATATTTAGGCACCACTGGCTAGTTTCTTCTATATTTAATCTGAAACTATAAATACCTCCAATCTAAATATTTACTACATAAATTAAATTAAATTTCACGACTACACTTTTTGGCTTTCTATTGAAGGTCAATGTCATTTAATCACAAAGAACTAGCTGTTATACTATTTAAATTTAATTTTGTTATATTGTTTCGGACAGAAAAATGAGTAAGAATATATAAAATATTGCATGGGTTGTAAAATCAAAAGTTAATATATTTTTTTAATGACCCACGGGTACAGATGATTTGAATGATGGTCCTGATTTTTTTTTTAAATTTAAACAAGGCACAAATAGTTGTTATAATAAAACAATAAAGAAAATACATTTTTTTTATAATTATCAATCTTCATAATACTAAAATTGTAATCTCTGACATATTTTTAAAAAAAGCATTAGGGAAATTGACAAAAACAACTAATGAGCAAGCTGCTCACACATTAAGGTATTATTTAAGACATTGCTGTTATATTAATGGTCTAAATTTTCATAACAATTAGGATTACATATTTATTTATAAATGTATTACTTATTAATTTCAATGAGAATATTTTTTATCAAATTGAATAAATGTTAACTTAGTGGCTATGCAATTGCAAACCTCCTATGGAAAAATGTCAATAAAATTAAAATTGTTATAAAACATAATTAAGTATGTGTTGAGATCGAGAATACAAATTTTGAATAAGATTTAAGAAATATGAAAAATAAAATAAATTTTTTACATATTATAATGTACATTTAAGTAGGTATATAACAAAAAATGTATAATAAGTAAGCATAGTTTAGAAGTGTCAACAAATTAAGTGTTAGGAATGGGTTACATAAGTAGGTAGTGTAGTTTATTTTATATTTTGTAAAATAATGTACTTATCTAACTATTTTCAAATTACATGAATAAAACTTAAACTAAATTTATATTTACCAACTATCTTTACCTGGAAAGAAACAATGCCAGAGCCAGAGTAATCAAATAACTACCAAAAATGAGTCTAGTCAAGCATGTTAATTTACTAATTTGTACAAAAATAATGAAAAAATGTAAGACTAGGATAGAAGTGCCAATAATTTAAAAATAGAAACATTGTCAAAAATCAAAATAGTTATAATATAGCTGTAGTATATCTTTACTACATATTATGATGGTTAAAGTATAACGACTTTATTAACAACACCAATTTTGTTTTTTAGAAAAATAAGATACTAAGTAACATACTTGGTTTTCAGTTTGTAACCTCCCAATAGTTTCTTCCTTTTTACTAGCTTCTTCGGCTTCTAGACGAGAGGCGAGACTCATGACAGCCATCATTTCTTTGATACGCTCCTCCTGTTGAACTATCAAAGTGTTTTTCTCTTCTATTGTCTGAAAGACAAGAATTAAGAGAAATTAATTTTGTGAATCTATTACTTACACTCTAAGTATGACTAATTTTACCTTCGCTGTGAGATTGTTAACAAGCTGGTCAGCACTGGTTTGGGCAACAAGATGTGAAACCTGTGATCTATACTTGCTCATGATCATCTCGAGTGCAGTCTGGTGTTCAGCAACCATTGCTCTTAATATTCGATTTTCTCGTACAATCTCTTGTAGCTGCCGACTCTCGGTGCGTATCGAATTGACCAGTTCTTCATGTGGCAGACCTCCTTCTTCCATGTCGTTGAGTTCAGACAAATCATCTGTATACTAGATAAGCAACAGTGAAAACATTATAATTATCAGTATGTTCTAGGCTTGGATACAAAATGATAATTGATACTCATAACTTAAGATTTAATTTTGGAATCTTATATAATTGTATTGCTTGTGGGGACTTATTATTATTGAATACCTATTAGTTTTATACATTAACTTTTGCAGTTAAGTCTTATTTCGAACACTCAGTAGGTAAATCTAAAATTATGAGGATAAGATATTGTTAATAGGAGGCAAAGAGGGAAATCTATGAAAACTTCTAAATGTTTCAGAACTAAAAATAATTTTTATACCTGAAAGCCAATTTGTAGGGTTAATTCATACAATAGAGGGGGGGAGTCTTAAACTCCATCACCAGACACCAACCCAAAATCTACCTATGACGGAACCCGTTAATCGGTACATATAATACATTAGTAATATTATTGTTATTATCTAGTCACTTGTTTCATAGCGTCGATTTTCTTGTAGGCGAACTGGGCTTGAGACAACAACGCATCTGCTGCTGTGTCGTGTTCTTTAAGTTTGGACGCCAATCGCTTGGCGTCGGACAATATCTGCTGTACGGTGACGGACATTGCACCGAAGCCGGTAAACAATCGCAAAGCTTCGACGTAATACCAAAATAACTGACGATATCGTGTATTAATATCGTCTTCTTGGTACTCGGTGGACGTCTACGAGACGACGAGACGTATGCACAACAGCTTCTCGAAATGCCATTGACGACGATGTCCGCACTCCGCGAAACACATGACGGTCAACGCAACCGTGAAACAACGATTAACGACTATACAAGTCTGAAATGGAATACGCGAGCGTAGGCAGTCAAGTAGGTGGCGGGCCCTTAAGATCTAGGCCGGAGTGGGGCAACGTTCTTCCAATATTGACATAATATTATTTTAATAATATTATATACGATATTATGTGTGGAGTTATATCTATGACATAATATTGTTTTAAAATGCTCGCCGTATGTGAATATTATAAACGGACGGGATCACGACAATATTATCAATGACTGTTAAGTCGTAGGCACGCACACTGACCACTGAGTAGTGAATACGTAGTAACTAGTGACTACGAATTAACGCACTAGAGTGAAACGATCGCACCGTAATACGCCTCAACTACTCACTAGTCAGTTGTCAGTACCCTGGAAAGTGCAAATATGTATTCTGTTTCTGTTACTATGTTTACTGTTTAATATCTGAACAATGTTTTTTTTCAATATTATTATTGCACTACCACTGATAAGTGATACTACCACAATGTCACATTATCTCTTGTTTTGTCATAGAACCGGTGGTGTACCCCATAGATTTTATACTAGGTAACCGTGGTTTAACCATTGTTATCATATTTCGAACAAGTGCTTATCACTCGATAGTAGATAATACCCTACCATATTGCCTATGTCGGATGTCCAAAACGATTTTTACATTTTGCTGACATGCTTGTTAGTTGTTAACTTTGTTTAGAGTAAACATTATTCACGTCGGACCTGAAAATACTAAATAGCCACTGCGACATTTTTAACACTATTTCATTATGGATTCAGAGAAGTTGTTAAGCCGTTTGGATATTGCAGGTTCCATTAACACATGGGACCTAAGTAAAGAGACCAATATTGATCATCAAAAAATAATTGGTGTTGTTAATAGTATATTAGCATTGGGAAATATTATTACTGCTGATCCGGTAACAAGCAAATATTGGGAACTCACTGATGAAGGAGAATCAGTTTTATTGAATGGTAGTTATGAGGTAAACCTATATAATGCTATTCCGTCTGATGGGATACCTCAAAAGGAATTAATGTCAATACCGAATGCAAAAATTGGATTCAGCCAGGCAATGTCAAAGGGTTGGATAGTCATTGATCGAGCAGCAAACAAAGTGTTGAAAAAAGTTGATTCAGTCATTGATAAGGTTAAAGAAAATTTGATGGAACTGAAAGCATCTAATGACCAAATTTCTGAATCTGATAAGTTGGATTATAAAAAAAGAAAACTTATTCGTGAAGTAGTCATAAAAAGTTTTACATTAGGTAGTTTCTTTTTAATTCATTAATCTTTATAAAATTAATTAATTTTATTACATTTTGCAGGCAAGGGTCCAGAATTTACAACATCTATTGTAAAACTAGAAACTGAACTAACTACAGAAATGATATTATCTGGTTCATGGAAATCAACTCCATTCAAGCCTTACAATTTTGAAGCTTTAGGCCAGCCACAATCAGCTGGTTGCTTACATCCTTTATTGAAAGTTCGCTCAGATTTTCGTCAAATATTTCTTGAAATGGGTTTTACAGAAATGCCAACTAATAATTTTGTTGAAAGCTCATTTTGGAATTTTGATGCTTTATTTCAACCTCAACAACATCCAGCAAGAGACTCGCATGATACTTTTTTTTTGGACAACCCTCAAACTAGTGAAAACTTTCCTGAAGAATATTTAAACAAGGTAAAAGCAGTACATTCTAAAGGTGGCTATGGTTCTCAAGGATATGGCTATGATTGGTCTTTAGACGAAGCTAAGAAAAATGTCTTGAGAACTCATACTACAGCTGTAAGTGCTCGTATGTTATATAGCTTGGCTAAAGATTTTAAACCAACTAAGTATTTCAGTATTGACAGAGTATTCCGAAATGAGACTTTAGATGCTACTCATTTGGCAGAGTTTCAACAAGTAGAAGGAGTAATAGCTGATTACAATTTAACCCTGGGAGACTTGATTGGAGTTCTTCACACATTTTTTGAACGATTAGGAATGACTGAAATCAAATTTAAACCTGCCTACAATCCATACACAGAACCTAGTATGGAAATATTTTGCTATCACCAAGGACTAAAAAAATGGATTGAAATTGGCAATTCTGGAATGTTTCGTCCTGAAATGCTGTTACCAATGGGATTACCAGAAAAAGTAAATGTTATTGCTTGGGGATTATCATTAGAGAGACCAACTATGATTAAATATGGCATCAACAACATTAGAGATCTAGTCGGACCTAGGGTTAATTTACAAATGGTGCAAGATAACCCAATTTGTAGATTAGACAAATAAATTATATTGATCACTTTTATGATGCAAATATATATGGTGAATATTTAATTGTTTTCATAATACTTTCAATTTCACTATTGTCATAAATAGTGCTTGGTCTACATCATCTCCAAAAATACTTTCCAATACTTTGTCAATGTCTTTTCAACAGTATCTTCTCTTTCTTCCTAGGGGCATTGTAGAAATTTGTTCTTTTAACTCTTTTACATTGTCAACAGTCATGAAAAAACTAAAATCTCCTTCAAATATCTCAACAGTGAAAATGCATAGTAAATAATTTATATATTATTTTAATTATTATAGTTACTAAATGAATCAATGTCCTACTCACCTTCTTGTGCTGTGTCCATTTTTAAATCCAATAAATCTCCACTTAAATGCAAATTTATTACACTATTTTCGATTATTGACTCTGTACTAGAATTTTTTATTTGTCCTTAATATAATAGGGTATGTAAATAATATTTAAGTTAAGTTAGTAAGTCTTAAGTTATATAAATTTATCTTTAAGATTTGGCCAATGATTTGCATAAAGGGCTTGTTTAACACATTCAATTCCACTTGTATCCATTTCATCAGCAATTTCTGCCATTAATTAATTCAAAATGGTTTTTCTGACACTCAAATACTTCAATGAACATGAAAAACAATTCTGAAAAATACAGGGATTCTATTTTTTATTATGATTAAGTAAATTATTACTGTTAGTAACATTATTGGACATACAACCATCTATGTTTTTTCACTCAGTAAAACTTCAGCTTGACTTCTCCTTAACCAAAGGTAAATATTTATTCATGATTTCTGTAATATTGCACTAGAATAATCAAAACTTAAAATATTATTTATTACAATTCATTAAAATTAAGTACCTACCTATTTACTTTGTCAATGCTGAAAAAAATAATTATATCATTAATGTTGTGTAGAAATTGATCAGATGGTTCATTTAAACTGATGGAGGTACACACATTTTTGTCAACAGTAATATTTTCTTCATTCCTCATTACTGTACAAATCATAATAAATAATTAGGTACTGTTTACTTAAAATTAATGAAGTACAAAATGTGTAAATTATTTACTCGTTATTAATAAAGGTGGTGAACAATACAACTTATGCTAGTATGTTAAATACAAATTTCAGTTATATGTAATAAAAAAGACATTTTTTATTTTTATTCTTTACTGTTCTTAATACCTCTAATTTTTTTGAGGAAAAAAAGTATTGTAAAACTTATGTAGTTATGTTATACTAAAATATAATTACTTATATATAACTATGACAAATAAATGGTTGTTGGTTTTAAAATACATAGATTGGCTATAGTAAAGCTATGTAACGACCACAACAATGTGTTTGATATTTTATTTAATGTGCTTTATTCACCTTATAATAATGAGTACAAAATGTGGGCTTACATTTAATTGTTTTCAATGGATCGTCATCAAAACAAAATATTATATGTGTACAAGGGAGTTCACTTTTTTACTTTATTATAAGTTGTTAGTTAATAGTTATTTGAGTAACAAATTCAATACCTATTTATGTCTATCATTGAATAATGAATGATTTGGTTTTTAAATGTTATGATAAATAGCTTTAAATTTGAATACTATAATTTAATAAATAAATAATATTTAACCATTTTTGGTTGAATTCACGTCATACCTATAGTACCATAAATAAAAAATAAATTATAACTATATAATTAGGTTATAACCTGTTTGGTCTATTATAATGACTAGGTATACCCTCAGATATATAAAAATATTTTCATCTGTTCTGTGATTATACCTTAGATCTAACTAGGTATATAGTATAATATTATGATCTAAGGTTTCATTCAAGCCAAGAACAATAATCGAAGATGGATTTATAAATACAAATCTACGTGGATCTTATTGCTCAAAAATATTACCTTATTGCCGTATTACACAATTTAAGATATTATAGGTACTAAATGTCAAATACTACGGATCACTGTCGTAGAAGACATCAGACATCTTCTAAGTTTCTAACATGATAAAATATTATTATATTATTTATTTTATCATGTCTTCTAAGACCGCGCTAACATGACAGAGCAGATCTAGTTTTTCATGGTGCTATAGAAGTTTAGAACTATACTATAGTATTTCGATATAATACCTTAAATCGTGCATACTGCATTTCGTGCCGTATTAAAACATTATCAATATTTTGCGGTTATCTCATATTTGAGCCACTGAAATCACTGTACAGATAGTACTTTTGTTTACGCAAAATACCATGCGTCGTCAGCAGGCCGCAGTGATTGCAGCTGCACGTCGGCAGTCGGCAGATACCGGTCGCCGGATAAGGTCAGAATTGTCGGATATTCGGTGGTGTGCTCACATTGTTCAATTGTTGACGACCATACCGACGTTTATCTTGATTTTTTTCACTAAATAGTTGCCCTATGATCTTGTCAGATTAATCTTTTACGTACGATTCCGGTGATGGACAGCGATACTGTTGATGTCAAACTCGAAGTCGATGACGACCAAACTTCGGTTGCGAATTTTGTGTCTGCAAATATCATCAGCCATGATTCCGTCGTGAGAAATTTTCTTTTAAAAATTATTTGAAGGCCTAACGGTTTTTTTTATAATATTATACATTTAATAAAAATAAAAAATCTGAATTAGGTTATTGAATATTAGTTGTAGTTATTTATCATATTATTGAGATCATTTTGTATGAAATGATGCATCCATTCTATCTTAAACTACTAACTTTCTGATTAATGTATAAACAAATTCTCTTGGTGTAATGAATAATCAATTTTTTTCATATTCTATAATTTTTAAAATTGAAATTATTTTCTTATTAATTCAGAGTTAGTTTTTACTGTTTTCATTGAGGTTAACATATTACTTATTGTCTTATTAGTCTCTGTATGCTGCATGATCTGCAATCAAAGAACTTACTTGACTATCTTCAAATAATTTATTATTTATGCATAACTACAAATATAATTCATTCTATATGATAGATGATAGTTGTTTAATCGGTTAATTTAATATTACTATTGTAATTAAATCAAAGATGTTTAATATTATTGGTTATAATTAGAACTAATAACATACTTTTGGCCCTGGATTTAAAAAAAAATTAATTTTTCTAAATACCTTTACAACAATATACCTAGTTTTTTTTTTAGGTGACTTGTGGTCAATGCGAAAAACAAATGTTATATCAGGAGTATGATTCTGAACACCGTCAGATTCATTATGACCTCTGTTGGATTGTAGGAGTAGAAAATGAAATTGTACTGTTTTAATTTAAATATTTTTAAAATGTTATAGAGTTATATTAATAGTTGTATATCTCATAGGATTTCACAGATACTTCAAAAACACAAGCAATATTAAAGAAAACTTTAACCAAATCTAAAGCTAAGTCAAAATTTATATGTGAATGGTGCAATGCTGTTAAATTGACTATTTCTGGGTTTGCCAATCATCTAAAAAAATGTAAACAAAAAGTAAGTAGGTACTTAATTTACTTATATAATAGCTCCATTCACTAGTTAATTTAACAAGTTATTATTTGTAACTTGTGAATAGTGTCTAACTATTTTTATTGTAGAATTATTATTGTTGGGCGAATGAGAAAAAAAAAGTATACAATCAAATTTGTCATTTTACTATTCTGTCATATTTTATGAGACATACCTATATTTTATAACACTACCCTGTTATAAAATATGACCAGTGCTTGGAATGAAAAATTGTATTGACTTGAACGCTTATAAAATTAATCTTTAACCCTTAAATTATAATTATAACCTCCTGTAACGGACGCTAAGGTTAATATTATGAACTGGAGTGTTGTTCTGGACGTTCTGGTCCATTTCAAGCACTAAATATGACATCATACCAAAATATACTAATTTAGTTTTTTTCTATGTTACATATTTTCTGATCTTTGAATGTGTTCCTTTAACAATTGCAATTTTTGTTTTAGTCTTGGTAAGCTTCAACTGTTCTATGATATTAAATGTGTGCACTTATAAATCTTTTTATGATGTATTGTATCAACATTTTAAAATTAATTTTCTTTTATAGACAGTGGTGAGTGTAAGTAATGAAGTTCTAAATGAGTCTGATGTAAATCTTGGTGTATCATCTACTACTCATAATGATGACACTATGGTAAGTTAATACATTTATATTTATATGTAAAGGATAAACTTAGTTGTGATACTGCTAAAGCAAATCTTGAACATTTTACTGGGTACTGTACTATTTTGTTTAATTACGTATAGCTCAGGCAGTGCTCAAATTGGAATTTTTTTTATAAACCGATTGCTTATTAATTTAATATGCCTAATGGGAATATGAAAATGATAGTATTAATTTTTAATTTTAATTAATTTAAATCAATGTTTATAATGAAATGTAAATACATATTTTAAGTTTAAAAAAATTGGAATTATACAATTAAGAGTTTTTGTGTTTACAAATTGCAGTTAATACTTGATTGTAGCATAGATAGGTACTTGCACTTTTGATCATAACATTGTTATTGTGATAAGACAAAGAAATTAACAATAGTCGGCAAAGACACGCATCATGTCTATTGGACTTGTATAATATTATTTGTCAAAAGCAAGTTTGATAATTTTAATCCCCTTGATTGTCTGAAACTCTTAAATTCTAACCATAACCAACCCGAACGAACACAAAAGCTAATATTACGAATTGGAATGCTGTTCTGGTTCATTTAGAGCAGTGGGCTCAAGTGATCAAGTAAAACTGTTATTAAAAAACTAATATTCCTGACTTATTTGATATTGTTTCTTATATTAAGTATGGTAAAATATTTTATTATGGTTTTTAAAATTTCTTGCATGATATCCACTTCATGCAGAGTGGTTAATCCACCATTTTACAAGTACTTACATTGTTATCAACATCATTCACAAATTAGTTTAGACTTAAGTAAAGAAAATAATAAATTAATTGAATAGTAGAATATATTTTCATTATCATGATTTTTCTTCTAATATTAGCATTGGAAGACAATTATTCTTAATTTTAATAACCTGGTAGTATGTTTTGGTTTGTCAATAGTTTTCAAAATATTTGCATTACCATACATAATTGTATCTACATTCTCAAAGTATTATTTTCCAATTATTTTTTTCAGTGATCAAATACTTGTATTGTAATATTTTTTTTAGTATAACATTAGGGGTTACCATAATATACTCAATAATAAATTCAAACATGTTATACTTTTCATTATTGATGTTTAGGTGTCATGTGGTCGTTGTGGAGAAAGTATGATGTATGAAGAGTATAAAAATAAACATAGACACACTCACTATAATTTATGTTGGTTGGAAGGAGAAGAAAAATTAGTAAGTAAAAATATTAATTTTAATATTAAAAAAAATATAATTTTTAATGTTAGTAGGTATAATAAGTTAAATAATCAAAGAACATTTATTTTTTAGGATTATTTAAATGAAAACAAAATGGCTGTTTTACTCCGTAGTATTTTACCAAACGGTACTGCTAAAAAAAATTTTATATGTGAATGGTGTAATGATTTAAAAAAAAGTGTGTTAGGCTTTGCTTCTCATGTGAAAAAATGTGCCATAGAACAACAGGTAATCATTTTTTCAAATCAATATATCGCTTTTTTTATTTATATACATTTACTAACATGGATATATTTTTGGGCTAAGGATTGGTCAAAAATTTGAGAAACTTATATGTTGTTTGATAAATAAGCGCTGTGGCTCAATCTAGAAGTTGTTTCAGTTTGAGGTTAAAGAACTCAACTTGACCGCCAGACCAAATCCCAGAAAAAAAAAATTAAAACCAAATTGTCTTGTCTTGTTACCTTTTACAGATTATAACAGTTGCTATTTGCCTACTAAAATTACTACTTTGATTGTATAATAGTGTTTTTACTAAGAAGGTATTGGTCGCGATGTAGTCAGTGGCGTGTTGACCGTGATTTAAGGGCAGGTGCCCGATAATTTTGGGTGGGTGGATGGTGAGTACTGGATTTAGTGAGAAATATTTTTGTACAAAACTAACTACATTTGAATATGGTATAAGAATTAATAACATCATTAATAACTATACTAAGATACTCAGTAGTACAGTACTGCAATATTGTGAATAACAACACTAAACATGGCTATTTAAAGCATTATCATTTAGTTGATATTTATGTGGTAACTACAAGTTACAACTGTACTCTATATACTATTGAAGTAGCGGGTTGTTCAACAGGTATTCCCAATCTTCTACAACCGATTTTTTTATAGGAGGGAGGGGTCACACACTGTTTAAAATTTAAAAATAGCAAAAATTAAAAAAAAATTAAAATACTGCAAAAAATAACAAATACGGCCACTGAGGGGGAGGGGGCATGACCCCTATGGCTCCCCTGGATAAGCCACTGGGTGGGTGGTAGGTAAATCAAAAAATTAATTGCCCGATAAAATATTTCACTTCGCCACGCCACTGAGTCCAGTACGTCTGCGGCATAAAGAATCTTATTAGAACAGGCCAAATTATATATATAAAAAATAAGTTTTTAATTTGAATTTAAAATCCTGTTAGGTCAATAGATAACCATTCAGTATTAAGTTCAGGCCATGGCCATAGTTTTGTCTATGATTAACATGTTTGTTTATTATGTAAATACATATACTATCTGCTTTACCAACTTACTCAATAACTTGCATTCTACTTGCACATCAAATCTTACAATTTATTTTATAGATTTATGTCATGGTACTTATTGGATTTTGTAAAAAGATCAACCCGATTTGATATTGAAACAAATTTAATTTAGTTAGGTCTTTAGCGCAAAAACATATCCATGATTGTATGTTTATCCATATGGTGAAGATATTCTTATTTGTATGTAGAAACTGTCCGTAAAAAATGTTGGTTTGTTTTTAAAGTTTTTTTTTTTAGCAAGTACTTCAAATTCCTGATGAAACTGATTCACCCCAGCCTATAGATGAAGAAGAAATCAATAGTAAAAACAATTCCATGGTATGCATATTGTTTTTTTTTTTTTTGTACAAAATTACAATTTTTAAATTTTACTTCTTTTTTCTTATTTATTAAGGTAATTTGTGGTCTTTGTAATAAAAGCATGATGTTCGAGGAGTATGAAGATATACACAGTGCAACACATTACAATTTATGCTGGATAATTGGTGATGAAAAACCAGTAAGTAATTTTTTTTTACAATTGTATATACATATTATACTATGTAATGCGAGTACTGACTAATAAATAATATTGCTCTTAACAATATACTCGTGTATAATGTATATTTATTACTAATTAATAATTATTAAATATATTCAATTTTCTTTTTCTTTTTAAAACAATACTATTTATAGGTTTAAATTTCAAGATACCTTTTAGGTTAGGAAAAACATTTTAATAGTCCAAACAAAATTGTTTTTGACTACTTCTTTAGTTATAATTCAAAAATAATAATTCTTTAGTATTTAAATTTCTACTGGTTATTTTTATTTTTTGACTGAAATTTAGCATATTTAAATGGATACTACACTTGTATTCAATTTGCTACTGTTAAATTCTCTTTGTACATTTTGTTGTTTTTAATAACAAATAAGTGTATTTTTTCATATATATTTTCAGTAACTATAAAAAAAAAATAAAACTTTTTCAAATCCTGAACTCATGCTATTATTTAAATTTTGAGGTCTTTCCCTTAATCTGCCGACTGCCACACAATTTACCGTAGGCAAAAAAGTTTTTTTTTAATAAAGCTTACTATCCACATTTACGGTGTTGGCTGATTGTTCTTAGTCCTTTGGGGCATAAGCCCCTTCTTGCAAAATGTAGAAGTTGTGAGCAAATCCATACACCAGTAGGTGTAGCAAGCTTTTCCCTCACACCAAAGATAGGTTTCATTGTGGCAGATACTGAAAAGATTCTTGTTTTGTTTTATCTAAAGAGTTAAAATTAAAATTTCTTTTTTTTTTTTAGGATTTTGATGATGAGAATTTGATACAAAGTTTATTACGACAAAAATTACCAAAAAATGCTGCACGTCAAAAAAAAGTAAAATTTATTTGTGAATGGTGTCAGAATGAAAAAAAAAGTGTAGTTGGTTTTGCTAGTCATGTAAAACGATGCCAATCTAGACCGGTAAAATTGTTTTCTTAATTAACTGTGTGCTTAATAAATATTATATTATTTATATTCTTTATTAGGATAAACTGGGACTGCCCAACGAAATAGGAAATGGAAATGATGTAACAAAAAAATCTGATCCAGAAGTTCCAAAAAAAAGTGACGATTCAATGGTAAGCTGATTATATTATTTGATTATAATTTATATTCTTACATTTTCTAAAATCGTAAGTTTAATGTTCAGGTGACCTGTGGCCGTTGTAAAAAAGAAATGACTTTTAATGAATATCGTACTAATCACTGTTCTAAACATTTAAATTTATGTTGGATTGATGGAGAAGAAATACTTGTACGTATAGTTTGATTAAATGGAAAATAATATTATTAATACAATTTAGATTATTTTAATATCATTTTTATTTTTTTTTAAGGATTTAGAAAATTATGATACAGTATTAAATAAATTAAAGCAATTCATACCTTTTAGCGTGGTTCGTAAACGATCAGTAAAGTTGTGTTGTGAAGATTGTAAAACTGTTAAGAGAAGTATTTCAGGGTTTGCAAGCCATGTAATATATTGCAGCAAAACTCCTGATGTAAGTCGTACTATTGAATAATTGTAATAGTTATATCGCAAAATTATTATTTGAACATAGGAAAAGAGCAAGGAATGTATTAATTTTTTTTTAGAAAATATCAATCATTGAGGCTCTGTTTTCAATTTGGTTGTCTTTTGATTGAAATTCCAATTTTATTTAACACCTCGACAAGGCAATGCTTAATAATATGCAAGATTTTGCATGTGATGAACCCCCAACACTTGTTCTCTCCAAATAAATCAATATATTATTTTTCAGGATATTCAACAATTGTTATTAAGATGTAAAGACTGTGGAAATAAAATTAAACCATCATCATTAGTAACTCACAAACTAAAAAGTTGTAAAGGTGTGAATAGCTTAGAAAATGTTCATAATATCATCATCAAAGACAATGTGAGTTGAAATTTAATTTTTCTAAATTTTAGTCACATTGATTATGTATTATGTATAGTCATATAGTACCTATATTATTATATAAATACCACTAATTTTATCTTATTTTTTTAGTCTAGAAGTGATTACAAAATGCGTCGGAAGAGAAGGCCTCCAAATGTGTTAAGTTTTCATCCAGATACCAAATATATTACTGAATACTTTGTAAGATTTTTATTTTTCAACTTATATAAATAAATAATTTTAAACTATTTTTTACAGGATTTTATGTGTCGTTCATGTGATTTTGTTACAATAAGTGTCAATGACATTGTTGATCATATTTTGAATGTTCATGATATTGTTTTAAATAAAAAAAAAGATAGTTTAGGCAATTATACAAAAAGTAAGTTGTAATTTATGTGTTGATTAAACATTTTATTATAATATATTAAATTAATATTACATCATTGATTTTTTTAAACAGATAAATATGAAGTGCACAGAAATATATACTTAAAGCCTTTATTAAATTATTATAATTTGTAAGATCAAAATCATAGCTTAATTAGTAATTATTTAATATTAATTTATTAGAAACATTAAAATTATTTTCATTTTTTAGCTTCACAAAAACATTTTGGAAGGATGTTTGTCACAAAGATTTTAATTTTGATTTTATGATCTTAAGAAATGATGAAGCATTGAAGTATATACCATCTATTCAACAATCTTGCAAAATATTTAATTCAAATGATGAACAAATTTGTGTTGATCTTTTCAAGTCTGTTTATATCAATGGTATATTATTTACTGCCAATATGCTTACTTATTTTTAATTAATCTTAAATTTTTTTTATAGGTATGCATTGGTTATTTACTGGTGGTCCTAATTGGGCTATGTCGTGGTGTCCTATTCCAAAGGAAGTTCAAACACAGTATTTGGCAATAGCATGCCATCCTAAACCAGATTTGGAACATAAAGAGATGGACGTTTATCAATATCCGTCCCTTGTGCAGTTGTGGAGATTCGATTCATTAACAAATATTATGTAAGCTTTGCTTATTGGAATTTTATTTTTAAATCTATTCAAGCTTTTTATAACTATAGAGTCTAATTAATCATATGAGATTGTTTTTACTATTAGTTTTTATGTATTTTAATATTTCTTTCAGTAGTGAATCTGTCTCTCATACACCACATATGTCTTATGGTCTGGCTCATGATTATGGTGCTGTCTGGGATATGGCATGGTGCCCTTCTGGAGCTTATGAACCCCCCCAAAAAATAGGATTACTGGCGTTAAGTACATCTTGTGGAGATTGTCCTGTGTTTGCTATGCCTTTTGTGGACGAAATCTCAGAAATGTACTGTTTAAAATGGATAACAAAATTATTAATAAAATAATATTAATGATATTCAATAAATCTATTTAGGTTTTATATTTACAAAGCCCAGCATATAGTAGCAAGAAATTTTGAATGTGAGTGGGTTGATGGCGGTGTACAATGTACAAAAGTTTGTTGGCAGGCAGTTTCACCATTCAAGTAAGAAAAACAATTTTCTTACAAACTTTTCATATCCTGACAAAATAGATATGCATCCTCCACTTGTCATTTCGCCTATGTCGTTCTTCTTATTGACTGTCAATCGAATACGTACATAATATAACATAGGAAAAAAATCAACCAATCAGAAGTGGAGAACTGCGACATTGGCCGGAGTTGAAGTAGATGTGCATTTTGAATAAAATATTAACAACTGTGACGATAACTATCTATTTTGTCATGCTTCATCTATATTATATTTTATATAACATGAATATAATTAAACATTTCGTAAAATGTTCAACAATAAATAGCAATTTATATTATACACTAAGTATTATGGTATTTATAATACCCATAAAATAGTATAAGAAGTGATTATTTTTAAACATCATCCTCTGATACTTAAAATTTTTTAAACTTCAAATAACTGTTGTAATAATAATCATAGCATTATATTTTATTACATTATGTTGTTTTCAAGAATATTTAATTGTTTATTTTACAATCAAAGCATTAGAACTGGAAAAAAATATTTTAAATATGAGGTATAGTAGGATATAGGAATGGTGTATAAATGGTTCCTTAATTCACTGTATTTTGTGAACATTTTGAGGCGATACATTTTATAAATTTGCTTTAGCAATGCTATTAACATTTTAACATAATTTTTCAGAACTCTTATTTGTGGATATTCAAATGGTGTTGTTAGTGTGTTCCATATAAATTTCAAATCAATATTCTTAGATAATGATATACTTTATCCAAGTCATACTTTCTTAGCAAGTAGAAGTAGTATAACCGGTAAACTTATTATTTATTTTTTACAAATAATTTACATTGTTATGTGATTAGTGTGAATTGTTTTTAAGGTCTTTCCATGAATTATTTTAATACTACAATATTGGCTACTTCAGCAACTGATGGCAATGTAACTCTTTGGGATTTGAAGTCTACTGAAACCCCAGTATTTCAAAAGAAATCTTACTGTCCATCTGATTGTACTTGGCTTCAACAGTGTTACACATTGGTATATTGTAGTAAAGTTGTGAAGTAAGTTGATTCATTGCATAGTAATATTAAAAATATTTATTGACTGGTTCATAAATATTATTTTAGTCCAGGATTCTCAAAAGTTCGTACTATTAATTTTTCAAATTATGACGATGATATTGATGGTTATAATCCCGAGTTGTATGTTCTAAAAAGTGTAGCTAATAGAAGTAAAATACTCGGTAACTGTGATCTAGTAAAGAATGATGAAAAAATAAACAGTGATGACACTGATGAAAGCAAAACTCTTAATGAATCCAATATAAGTGGTGATGAATCATATAAATCTGATGGTTCAAGTTCATATAGTGATCAAGATAAATCGAACAATGCAGGAAAATCTGGAGATTTAACAAAAACCATTGATGAGGAAGATTTTTATGGTCCTGCTTTTTTTCAAAAGAGTACTCATTGGGTTTGTTAACAGTTTTTTTAATAAATGTAAATTAGTAAATTTTACAAAATATTTTAGTCTGTATCTACTTCGGATTGGATGAATATCATAGCAACTGGAAATTCAAATGGAGTTATTTATGAAAAGTTGTTTCTAGCAGAGACCAATAATATAAGAAAGGGAAACTCTGTAAGTTTATTATAGTTAAAAAATATTTATTTATTTTGCGTTTTAAGTTATTATTAAAATGTTTTTCCATATTCAAATGTTTACTTTCTTCGGAATGAGATCGTACCTCGGCGGCCGACTTCTGCCCATGGGCGTGGTTTTGTTCCACAGTGCTGGTCTCACGAGCTTTCTAGGTGGGGGAAGCGTCTGACCTTCGCAGACAAAAAATTTTCTCCGTCGAGGTACGATCTCATTCCAAATAGAGTATTGATATCATTAAAGCTGAAAGTGCTACTTTGATTAGAGAATTAAAGCAAATTTGAACTAATTTAGTTAATAACCATATAAAGAAATGATATCATATTTTAATTTGAATCAATACATTGTTTTGATCAGTAGCACAATATGATAATTGATATTTATATTTTATTTCAGACAACACTTCAATTGACGGTAAGACATTTATCAAATGATAACACTGAATCTGAGTATTCCGATGGTTACCGTTATAACGAAACAGTTCAAAAATTTGGACTTAAATCTAAACTTGTAAGTATTTATATTAAATTATATATTTCAGTTCCTCTAAAACCAAAAATATTTCATGTGTTTGTTCTGTTGCTAGTTTCTTTTCAATGAAAATGTACCAAACGACCAAGATGCCAGCAAACCTTTGTTAAGATACCCTCTTGATAATGTAACTAAGGTAAAAATTATATTTTTAATGTTTTGTACAAAAGTATTATTTATAATAGCTTTTATTTTTAACAGGTATCTTGGAACCAGAATTTTAATTCTTTTCGTTGGTTGGCGATTGGAACTCAAAGTGGTTTTACTCTTATTTCACCTTCTCGAGCATTACCTGATAGTTGTATAGATACATTTTATAAAACAATTTTTACCCCAATTGGTAACATTCATGATACGACTGATATTTCTATGTAATTTTTTTAACTAAATCTTATTTTTAATGGTTTATCACTAAGAAAAGCTATTCTTAATATTTGTATTTCATTAGATTATAATTAGTTAAAATGTGTCTTATTATATTATATTATATTGATGTGTAAAAATGAATTCACTAGTGGAATAACCAGATTTTGAAGTTAAGTATTCAGAAAAAAATTTGTGATCGACAGCCAGTTACTACTGAGTTCTCATACTATTATTTAACTGTTTTCACTTATTTGTCGTTTACTATTAAAAATTACAAGGCATACCCATAAAAATATAATACTTGACATTTTTTTTTTCATTTAACTATCCTAAACATTCTGGTTTTGGTATTCTATCCAATGCAATCATCGGTTTAAAGTCAGATTTTTAAATTAGGTACACGCAAAAACTGTAAATACATTTTGACTGCTTAGAGTTTACATTTTCAGTATAATGGTGCATACCAATATTGGTTAATTACTAGTATCAAAGTATTTTTAGAATTTGAGAATACTGGTGTTTCATCATTGTGTAATTACGGAAAATAAACTATTATTGGTAATACTATTGATACTCCTAGTAAAAACATGATGAATACCAGTGTCAAAACTTAAATATCACCATCTAGATTCTAGGATTTACCAGATTATTTGCTCACTAACCAATTGCAAAAGCCAGTTATGTTCAAAATCAAAATCGGACCTTACTTGTTATTGTAACTATTAAAAATGAGTTCATCAAAATTGTATATTTTTTTTTAAACTTATGAATACTGTTTTTAACCAAAGGAAGATCTTATTTTTGCCTACGATACTACTTTTATCTTTATTGATTTGTTTACAAATTTTTTAGTTCAATATATTCAAAGAGTTTTAAAAAATTGTCATTTCTAGTTATTGTACTAGTGCTTTCAAATGTGAATAGCGTATGTATTGTGTAATATTTTTAATTCATGATCGAATGTTTGGATGTATTTTAGTAGTTTTAAGTTTTTTTTTTATATATATATAAGGACTTACTTAGACTTAAAAACAATTATAAACTTTAATTATATTTTTACTTATAACCTATTTCAACGATATTATCAAAAACTCAGACCATGAAGACTAGAGATAAGGAGTTCAAATTCTTACTGCATTTTATACAAAAAAAATGCCCATCAAATATTGCACTTTCATTTCTCTACCAGTCTGTGCAGCTGTCTCGACACAATTCACCCATGTGGTTAGGAGTTACATTACACTCCGACAAAATTAATATTTTTTTACATAAATCTAAATATTATAATGATTATTCATTAATTTTCAATTATAATTCGGGTGTGAATGTAAATTTAATTGCCTAAAAAATACAAGTAAAATGTTTAAAAACTAAAATTTATTGCATCAATAACATTATAAAATTGTAAACATTTAAAACATTTTATAAAAGTTTGATTAACAAAATTAAAATTAAAAATAAGTCTATAATAAAAAGTTACAATGCACAACATGTGGATACGATTTTAGAAGAATACATTTTTTACAAATAATATATGAAAAAAATGTCCTTAATTAGTTAGGAGACATAAAGCTCCTTATCCAGAAATATGAAACCTAATCCAAATTTAATAGACATTTATACCCTTGTATTTTGTTCCTTAAGGCTAAAATAATAAATACTACATTTCTACTGCCATTGATATTTTTTTTAAACAAACATACTCGATAATTTAACTAACTAGTAATTTTACTGTTTCAAAAGGTGAACAACAAAAGTGACAAAAAAAAAATCAAAATCAATAGTCATGATTCATCGCCCCGCTCAGAATCTGCAGTATAATGATAAATGGTAACCAGCAAAACAATAACAATATGTAAATCATCCAATAACCATAAAACATACGCCTACAATTAATGTAATTAGTGATAAGTTGATTTAAGATTTTGGCGGAATCCTGGACGGAACTGGGATACCACACTACCACCATGTTTGTGAAGGCTGTAGATAATAAAAACTGAATGTTAAGCTCAATAATAAAATTAAATCAATTTACTTTCACAGTAGTAGCAGTACCTTTATTCTTTTAGATAGTGAAGACGTTAATTCAACATTAAATAAAGCTGCATCTCTTTTTAGACCATTCATTGTATTAACATCTGAGTCATGATTTACTTCAGCTATTTTGTTTTCTTGTATTTGTATTGTTGTGTAACAATGATCACTGTTTATAGAAGATAGCACGTCATGTCCATCTCCGCAGCTAGTACCAATATTGTTGGAGATATTAGTTCTGTCGTTCTTAAAAAATATAGATATATATTAGAGGAACACAGGTATCCTATAAACTATTATTATTTAAATTACATATTTTATTTATATGTTATTGTAATCTATCACAATATTATAGTCTATAAATATTTACTAAAATTATTGATCCATCATTGTACAGATCAATTCCTCCGACCCGTACAGGAATGGCTTCATCACAAAGTCCAGGGTTTTTCAAGCACTCCTAGAAAAAAAATTTTCTAGATTAATTACAATAATGATTTAGGAAGAAATGACTGAATACCAACAGTAGGTTATGTATACTGTATAATTATTTATCCCATTCTCAAGAAACCTATGTATCTATAATATTACGGTCTCTGAAGTGTTGGCAACAAACTTGAGAATATTTTTGGCTAAAACTCTCTCCCATGCGGATCATAGAGTAAGGTTTTGAGGGACACAGAAACAAGTTTATTTTATACATTTATCACGAAAAGGACAATTTGGTGCACAACAAGGCATTTTATAAATAATAGTTAAGGCACACTGCACACTGAATCAAAAATTATAATACATTTACCAAGATAAAATAATTGTATTTGTAGAAAAAAAAAATGTTCTTTGTTATTTTATCATGACCACAGATATCTATATTATAATATATCTTATCTTTAATATATTATATATATTATAATGTCTGTGATCATGATATATTTTACTAAATTTTGAAATCACGTAATATAATATATTATATTACATGTAACCCTACGTTTTCTTGCACTTCCATATTTTGGATTGCAAACAAATTTGCCATTTTTTCGAAGTTCATCATATTAACAAATTTAAATGTTGAACATTGGACTAAATAGTAAATATGTTAATTCATGAGAAATAAAAATGAATAATAATTATAAACTAATAATTTTAACGATACTACAAAATATAACAATGACGATACTCATTAAAAAATTTTTTTTTACTAATTTTATGAGATAATACTACAAAGCACGTAAAACGGTAAAACATGTAAAACATACTATTGTTATCTTTTATCATAATTATTTAATACAGTCAGACCATAGAGTAATGTATTACCATAGAAGTGTACTGTAATCTTTTTTTCAGTTTCATTTTTCTTAGTGTGTTTTGAGATAAAACTAGTCCTGTCTGAGTTTCAGAATCTGTAATAAAATATTTTTTGTTGGTTACAATTTTAATTTCAATGTGTAGTTTATAGGTACCTAATACATATTTTTTTAATTTAGGAGATATATACAATATACGTGATATAAACTACCTGAACAAGGTGTTGAACAACTTGATGAAATATCTGATGTTGAACAATTCTTTGAACACTCAGGTAATGATTCTGATGTTCTAGGAAATAATTCGACCGGACTTAAAAAAGAATCCAAAATCAAAAACAGCATATAATTCTATGCTAAGATTGTCTCACTTCCCAAAAATCTGGAAATTTGCTGTCATTTATACTTGTACAGTTGTACCTAAACCAAATAAACCTAAACACTTATCCTCATCATATCGTCCTATAAGTTTACTTCCAGTTCTTGGTAAACTTTTCGAAAAGGCCCTCCTGAAAAGATTACGTCCCATCCTTCAAAATAACCAAATCATACCAAATAATCAATTTGGATTTCGAAGTAGGCACTCAACAATTCATCAAGTTCATCGTCTTACTGACGAAATCTCAACTGCTCTCGAAAACAAAGCATACTGTTCTGGACTTTTTTTAGATATTACTCAAGTATTCGATAGAGTTTGGCACGAAGGCTTACTATACAAATTAAAACTCTTCATGCCAGCTCCCTACTATCTTTTTATAAAATCTTATCTACAAAATCGTTCGTTTGTCGTACGACAGGGTAACGACATCTCATCTACTCACTCAATATATGCTGGAGTCCCGCAGGGTAATGATTTATCCTCGGATCTATACAATGTATTCCACAGCAGATATCCCTCAATCTAGTAACACGCTTCTTGCCACATACGCTGATGACACAGCTATTCTTTCCTCCAGTTCAAATCCTAACCTAGCTTCAGCTGCATTTCAGGACCATGCTAATAAAATCGACGAATGGGCCAAAAAATGGAAAATCAAAATAAATACAGATAAATCTGTGCAAGTTACTTTCACATTAAAACAATCTCCCCGTGAGTGCCCTCAATTAATCATGAACAACGTCCCCATCCCTGTCCGAACCGAAATAAAGTACTTAGGCATAACTCTTGATAAAAGGCTAACCTGGGGCCCCCGCCTAAAAGAAAAAAGAAAATCAGCAAACAATAGACTACATCTCCTTCGACCACTCCTCAACTCCAAAATAAACTTATTATATATAAGTCAATCATAAGACCAGTCTGGTCTTATGGAATAGCAATATGGGGTCCGGCCAAGCCCTCGAACATTAGACCAATTCAGGCTTTCCAATCAATTGCGCTAAGGTTAGTTACCAAAGCCCCCTGGTACGTTTCTAACTTTACCTTACACAAAGACCTAAAAATAGCAACTACCACTGAACTAGCCGTAGCAATGTAAAAACGTTTTCACCAAAATTTAAACACGCACAGTAATACTTTAATATCAAACATGTCTACCTTCACCCTCCCAAAAAACCCACCACGCAGACTAAAACGCAAATGGTGTAGAGACCTATTAAATTAGTAAAAGAGGTGTTACCATAGGGTTTCTTCCTCAACACGTCATTCATGTTATTTTATTCTGTTTTTCTTTATCTAATTTGCTTATTGTAATTATTGTGTACAGATTGTGAATTTTCTTTCAAAAATCAAAAACTTAATTAAACACATGTTTTATTAAATGTCACATGTTGTATTATTAATATACGTGAATTTAGTAAATGCAAATGCTAAAACATGAACCCCTATCGGAGTCGTAATCACGTGAATAAATTGAATTGGTATTATTTACAGTAACACGAATAAATTATTCGATAACAAATCCGTTTTTTTAAAACGAAATCGAGACATTTTACTAAAAAAGTACAGTTTATAAAAAATAATAAACAAACGAAACTCGCTAATTATTTCTTGATAATAAATAAAATAGATAAATATAATAAATATTTAATTAATTTTCTTAATACATTATATGGAATATGAAATATGTAATTTTATGAAACAAATTATTACCTGATTACTTACGAATTATTACTTATTCCTCTATATTACGATTTTGTTTGTCCCTTCCTGTGACTTAATTATATTATGGAAGTTTCATTGTATTTATTATTTACATCATAATAAATTAATATTCATTTTACAAAAAGAAACAATTGTCAACTAACGATCTTTCTTCTACAAATAAAAATTTAGCATTAAGTAATTTAAGGTGTAAATACGTCAATATACAAATTCAAGGAAAATTTTAAAAAATGGGTCTTATAAATAGAATCTCAATATGAAGCACTCGGATTTTCAAAAATCAATCGTAAAAAGGCCAATTAAAAAAAAAAAAAACAGTAAGTTAGGTATTTTTACTAAAGATTCCTCGATTTATAATTTCTATATGATAATAATTAATAGTATTATTAGTATTCATTTTAATTCAGGACCTTAAAACACATGTTTAAAAATAAACGAGCACTGCAGGAGTCTGCAGTTAACACCTGCATTTGTAACGAGTAATGGTTCAACTAATTTAAATATACTAACAGGTTTTCATCTTTAGGAAAACGATGAAATGTTACTTTGTGTTGACCTTCCTTATTTTTGCAAATAACACAAATGTTCGGCATTTTGTAAAATTACAAAAAACAAGATAAAAAATAATTGCAAAAAAACACGTGTAAATAATCAAAAGGCGTAAAACACAACCGTTCAGACCAGAGTACAAGACGTGTGTCATCGAAATCGAATACTGCAGCTCGCGATGTTCACAAAACAAACAATTACATTTTTTAGTTAACAGTGTGACCCATAAACATAAAAAAACGGGGTGTATTGGTGGCGCTCCTGGCAAACAATTTTGAGAGCGCCCTCCTAAAAAAAATGGGGGGGGGGGTTATACAAATCTTAGTACTAAGTGGTAATATGCAGGGACCTTTTTTAAAAAAAAAAATTGGCGGGCTGATCTCGAGCAATGCATTTCGATGGTAAAAGTGTTCGTAACATCGTGCCTTACCGCCAAGCTTACAACATCATTCTTGTCGCTCCGAAATGAAGAAAATAAACTACGCGGCTGTACCGGCGTCACTGCGTCAGTGGCCAGTGCTGAGTGCACCTTGCGTTGTACCCACGATGTAGATAAAACATTTTTCCTACATCGTGGTTGTACCATAGTACATTTGGCCCAGACCCCGCACTCTGCCCGCCACCGAGTCATTCGTTACCACTGTTACCAGTCCTGTACACCTTGGTCCGCGGACCGCGGGGCACGCGTTCTCTAACTCCATTACTGACAAGTGTGAATTTCTACGTGTAACACGATGTCTCAAAAACGAAAAGCCCTCTCCCTCAAGGACAAAATAGCGATTTTGGACATTGTGAAGTCGCTTCCTTTAGGCTCTTCGCGAAGGGAAATCGGTGGGTAGTTACGCATTCCAAAATCGGTGATAGCGAAACTGATCAAGGAAGAAGTATAGTTACACGCTAAAACTTCTGTTCGACTCAAAACGGCGATCAAAAACGTATACGGAAAAGGAAAGATATCGAAGTTGACCAGGCATTAAGCGAATGGTTTTCATGGATTACAATCCATAGGGTTCGCGTATCTGGGCCAATGTTGAAAAGTAAAACTAAAGAATTATCCTAGTAAATGGGTGACATTCGGTTTATTGCTACTGATGCTTGGCTGAACAAGTGGAAGAGGAGACGCGAGACGTAGTAATTTATTATGTTTTTTTTCAGTTGTTTATGGTTGACGACGTTGACGTGTGCAGAATAAAACTTTTTTTGATACTGTACATTTTGTGTCTCTAAATAACTATTATCGGTTTTTGTGGGCAAACAACATCCCAACGTGGCCGCATTTTACCTTAGTAAATCCATTGTAATAGCACAGAATAAGTGACATTTAACCTATTATATGGTAATAGTGTTTGTATAATACCTCTAATGCTCGACTTTCGATGTTATAATGAAATGTCCAGATTCTAGACAACAAATAAGAATATCCGCAGAATTATTTTTGAGTAAAATTACCGATTACAAAAATGATAGTTAGAGATTAATATTTTTCGTATGGTATGGCATATCAATTTGTCTAAATATCGTTTAAAACCCGTTTGAACAATGGGTATTTAAATTTTATTTTTTTGAAATTCGAGTACTAAGTCAAATCTATATTTTTTGAAATAGGTGATTTTACTACATTAAGTGTACACAAAGTAAATAAAAAATGATTTTAGGATCAATGTTCAGTTATCATATAGAGAGGACACACATATTGAGCCGACATCCTCTTTTAATAAAAACACTACGATGCCCAATTACCGAACTCTCGTACAAGGTAAACAAATTTTAAATAGAAATGTTTAAACCAATTACCAATATTTACTATATGAGAGCTATTTTGAAAAAATCTTATAATATTGGCAAAAGATCAATCACAGGAATACAGATGAATAGGTTAAATTTAATTATCGCTTGGTTCAATGACGAAAGCGCGGGAAATAATAAAAATAAACGATCTGTGTGGTAATTGCGGTATAGTGTTTTAAATTAATTTATTGTTCTGCAATTTTTTTAATTGATAAAATATGAGTTTGGGCATTTTGTGGCACTTTTTCCGAAAATTAATGAAAATATTGTGTCCATTTTTTGTGTGGCACCAGTAGGGGTACAGTTTGTTGTTTCCGAACGTTATCAAAATCTGATTGGTCATATTGACGTTGGTGTGTTTGTTTATATTCTGTGTTATCACTTCGTTTGTTTTCTGTAGGAACTACAACTGCACTAGGCTGAAACTACTTGCTACCTGGTAGGTTTGTTTTATTTAGTACTTTTCTCCCGTAATTATACAACTAAGTATGTACGATCATAATAGCTTTCTTTTTAATTTGTAATTAATCGAATTTCATTTGACGCTTGTATAGGTACAGTGATATATGTGTGAGCAATTGTGTTTGCTTTGAACATATTCATTTTTGTCTTCATATGGCGTTCATGTATATTATGTTCGAATAATCGTTGCCTGACAAATCATCATCATCATGCCGCCAGTACTAAAATGCATCGAAATGGACAACTTCAAGTCCTACAGGGGTCATCATATGATTGGTCCTCTGAAGAACTTTACTGCTGTCATTGGACCCAATGGTTCTGGTAAGTAGAAGAAATTTAAAGTCTGACAGTGTAATATACTGTATCACCTTACTATATTTCCATTGTTTGTTGTTTCACAGGTAAATCTAACTTTATGGACGCCATAAGTTTTGTTATGGGTGAAAAAACTACCAGCCTCCGAGTAAAACGTCTCAGTGATCTTATACATGGTGCTTCTGTTGGACAACCTGTCTCTCGCAGGTATTTGTCTTGCATGATAAATGATTTATTTTATATATTGATTATTGGAATAATTGACTACCAATGAACATTTGTAATTTATTTTTTTATTTAAAAATTACCTTATTATACAGTGCTAGTGTAACTGCAGTTTTCAAAATGGATAGTGAAGGAACTGAAAAACGATTTACTAGAACTGTGCAAGGATCGTCATCAGACTATCGAATTAACGATGAAGTATATATATTAGTTAGATATATTTACTCAAATTGTTTATTTAAATAAATGTTTGGTGTTATTGTAGTCGGTCCCCAATCAAGAATATTTTGCACAGTTAGAACAGATTGGTGTGAATGTTAAAGCAAAAAATTTCTTGGTATTTCAAGGTGCAGTTGAATCAATTGCTATGAAAAATCCAAAAGAAAGAACCGCTTTATTTGAAGAAATTAGTGGGTAAGTAATTTTATATGAGTTAGTGTATTTTTAAATACATTATTTATTTATGTAATAACTATATATTTTTAGTTCTGGAGCATTAAAAGAAGATTATGATCGATTGAAAGCAGAAGTGATGAAAGCAGAAGAAGAAACTAATTTCACATACTTGAAAAAAAGAGGAGTTGCTGCTGAGCGTAAAGAAGCAAAGTTAGAGAAAGAAGAAGCAGAAAAGTATCAAAAACTCAAGGATGAATTAGTAAATATTAATTATTAGATTAGATATGGCATAATAACTTAAATTGATGGTACCTGTTACCTGCAATAAGTATTATAACTTGTATATATTTTTAGGCACAAAAAGAAGTTGAATATCAGTTATTTCGTTTGTATCAAAATGAGAATATGATAAAAAATTACGAACAAGATTTAGAAGACCGTAAAAAAGAAGTTGCTAAAGTAGAAAGTAAAAAGGAAAAAGCCGAAGAAGTAGTTAAAGAAAAAAAAAAGGAGCAAGGCAAGGCTAGTCGTGATCTGGCTAAAGTTGAACAAGAAATCAGAGAAATAGTAAGGCAACACTTTGATCTTTCACATTGTCGTAGCTTGTGATACTGTATTTATGCATTTACACATATGACCGACAACTGTATATTATAAATTTATAAAGGATATATACTTTTATCATTTATCTAATTTGATACAAACTTGTTTCATAATCATCAGATATTAATTTCAACTCTTTTAATCACTACCTAATATTAGTACCTAACTGATAATCCTTATTTTTGTATATATTTACTTATAGCTATTGAGAATAATATCAATATTTTGAGGAATTTTCTTTTCATAAAATTGAACCCAATTATAAAAACTGCATGATGAAATGTTTTTTATCAAATTAAACTTTTTTATATGTATGTGCATATCTCTTAATAATTATTTATACATATATTTCAAAGTTTCAGTACCTGTGTAAATACTGAGTCTCTCTTCTTATTGTCTTAATTTAATGTATGTTTGATTTTAATTTTTAGGAGGTAGAGATTAATAAAAAACGTCCATCATTCATCAAGTCCAAAGAAAGAGTGGCACATATACGTAAAAAATTAAACACTGCAAAAAAGTCTTTAGCCGAAGTAGTAATGGCCAATGATGCTCACAAAAAGGATATTGATGAATTGGAAGCTGAACTTAAAGAAGTTGAAAAACGGCGCCATGATTATGAAGAACAAGTGGCTGGAGAAAGTCATAGTCAGGGAAGAGATGTTCAGTTAGAAGATGCTCAAGTTTCGGAGTACAATAATTTGAAAATTGATGCTCGTAAACAGTCTGCATTATTTTTACAAGAGCTAGATTCTATCAACAGAGAACAAAAAGCTGATCAAGATAGGTTAGATAATGAGTTGCGCTTGAGATCAGAACTTGAAAATAAAATAAAACAGAAAACTCATGAAAAAGAAGAGGCCCAAAAGCGAGTGGACAAATTAACTGAACATATTAAATCTAGTGAAACTGCATTGGAAGAACAGAGACGTTTATTTGACGATCTCCGTAAAGATGTTGGTTCGTCCAAAGATAAAGTGTCCAAGCTTCAAAGGGATTTAGATAATGTTACTGAACAGTTGGGTGATGCTAAAGTTGACAAACACGATGATAACAGACGTAAAAAGAAACAAGAGCTAGTTGAAAATTTCAAAAAAGCATATCCAGGAGTGGTAAGTTTTTTATTAGTTGGAAGTAATAAGTTTTAATTTTTAGTTGTTTATTTAAATAATTGTTTTAGTATGACCGCTTGATCAACATGTGTCATCCTATTAGCAACCGTTATAATGTAGCGATTACAAAGGTGTTAGGTAAGTACATGGAGGCCATTATTGTGGATTCTGAGAAAACTGCACGTTTGTGCATTCAATACTTGAAAGATCACATGCTGGACCCGGAAACATTTTTGCCCATTGATTATTTGCAAACAAAACCACTGAAGGAGAGATTACGAAACATAAGTCGTCCACACAATGTCAAGCTCATGTATGATGTACTGGAATTTGATCCAGAAATTGATAGAGTTGTTTTGTTTGCAACCAACAATGCTCTAGTATGTGAATCTCCTGAAGACGCCAATCATGTGGCTTATGAACTTGAAAGAGATGGAAGATATGACGTAAGATTGTTCTGAAAATTATTTATACTTTTCTATAAAAAAAATAATTTTATATGACTTTTATGAATAACCTTTTTAGTATTTCTCTTTAAACAAAATTAATTTGCAGCTGGTTAAAAAATAAAATTATTTTTAAAGTATTATGTTTTTTAATTAGGCTGTTGCATTAGATGGAACATTTTATCAAAAATCTGGTATTATATCTGGAGGCAGTTTGGATTTAGCTCGTAAAGCAAAACGTTGGGATGAAAAACATATGACTCAATTGAAGGCTTCTAAAGTAATTTGAATACTATAATATTTTTCATGCATACTATTGTCGAGCCATTCTTTTTTTTTAGGAAAAATTATCTGAAGAATTGCGAGATGCTATGAAGAAATCGCGTAAAGAGTCTGAACTCAATACTGTTGACTCCCAAATAAAAGGTTTAGATATGAGACTCAAGTATGGTAAAACTGATAAAGAAAACACTGTTAGTAAATAATTTCACCTAATACAATATGTTTCATGCTTTAAAAACTGTACTACAATAATTTTTTTATAAACATTACTTGTTTAGCTTAAACAAATCAGAGATTTGGAAAAGGAATTGAAATTCTTAGAAAACAAATTAGAAGGGAGTGGAGTAAGTATTTTTTTTTTACTTCAAGAGTTAAGGTATTATAATATATATAATTGCAAAATTCAATTAATATTTTGGTTTTAGCCACGTATCGAAGAAATTGAAAGAACAATGCGGACTCGTGATATTGAAATTCAGTCTATGCGGGGTCGCATGAATTCAGTCGAGGATGACGTGTTTGCTGATTTTTGTCGTCAAATTGGCATGACTAACATTCGTCAGTATGAAGAACGTGAACTAAGGTCACAGCAAGAGAGGGCTAAAATTCGTTTGGAGTTTGAAAACCAGAAAAATCGAATAATGAGTCAATTAGACTTTGAACGTACCAAAGACACACAGAGTAGGTTTAAAAACACTGATTATACCATTACAAAATATTTATCATAATATATTTTCTTACCCAGACAATGTGACACGTTGGGAGAGAGCAGTTCACGATGATGAAGATGAACTTGAACGTGCCAAACAGGCAGAACAGAAGCAAATGTCTGAAATAGAGATGGACATGAAAGAAGTGGATAGACTGAAAGCTCAGCGACAAACTAAAAAACAAGAAGTAGATCAAATGGACGAAGTGATCAGCAAGGTATGTTAATAAATATTAAATATTAAGTTGTAATCAGATGGTTGAAAAGAACATTCCATAAACTATTTAGGCAAGAAAAGAAGTCGGTGCTATTGCTAAAGATATTCAAGCAGCTCAAAAGCAAGTAACTAACTTGGAGAACAAAGTAGAAATGCGTAGAGCTGATCGACATGCAATCCTAACTCACTGTCGGGTATGGTAGAAATTAATGAAATATTAAATTGTTTTTTTGAAATTTATTGATGTTAAATGATTCATTTAGATGGAGGACATTAACATACCGCTATTACAAGGTAATTTGGAAGATATTATTCAAGAACAATCTGTGAATAACTCTGAAGAACAAGGGCGAGACAGTACAGCCAACACACAAGAGATATATGATCAGGAAGCAAGGTTAATTAATTAACAACATTAAACAAAATGTATTTATATTTATTTAGAATGTTTGTTTCTTATTTTGTTACTCATTTATAGAATTACTGTGGATTACTCTTCATTACCCGATAATCTCAAGGATTTAGAAGATTTAGATGACATTAAAAAATTGACTGATAAAATGGCAAAAACTATGGCTGAACAATCGATGAAACTGCAAAAGATTCATGCCCCTAATTTCAAGGTAAATTCATTGATTTTAGTCAAAATAACTATTTGTTGTTTTTATTTATTTGTAAAGACCTCCTGATTGCACAAATTTATAATTACTAATTTAATATAGTCACAGTATAAATTTTTTCTTTAATGACATATTCTAAAGATAAATTATTTTTTTGAGTTTTGACCATTTACTATAACTTGGTTTGTCACATATTTCTTCAATTTTCTCAGAAAAAATGCTCTAAAGTATTGTGTCAACTGTGTTGTTATTTTTTATTTGTGTTACTTGTCTGTATTTTTTGAATGAATATTTTTCTGTTATTGTATTCAAAATTCAATAATTAAATTAAAATGTTTGTCAAACAGGCAATGCAAAAATTGGATCAAGCTAGGGAGAAAATGCAAGAAACCGATCGGGAATTTAACACAGCCAGGACTCGCGCAAAGAAAGCTAAACAGAACTTTGAGCGTATTAAGAAAGAGAGACACAACAAATTCACTGAATGTTTTGAGCATGTAGCCAATGAAATTGATTTGATTTATAAGGTAGACTTTTATTTATTTATTAAAATGTAAATTTTTTTAAACATGCTTTTATTTAATAGGCCTTGTCGAAAAATCAATCGGCTCAGGCTTTCTTGGGACCTGAAAACCCAGAAGAACCTTATTTGGATGGCATAAACTACAATTGTGTAGCTCCAGGAAAACGTTTCCAACCCATGTCCAATTTATCAGGAGGAGAAAAAACCGTCGCTGCATTAGCTTTGTTATTTGCCATTCACAGGTAACTTGTATGCAAAGTGATATACTTGTAATATTAATTATTTTTACTCAGCTAAAATGTATTTATCTGAAACATTATGAATTTTAAACAAATATTTGTTCACAGTTATCAGCCAGCTCCATTTTTTGTACTCGATGAAATAGATGCTGCTCTGGACAATACTAATATTGGGAAAGTCGCTTCCTATATTCTACAGAAAAAAACCAATTTACAAACTATCGTTATATCTCTTAAAGAAGAATTCTTCCATCACGCCGATGCTCTTGTTGGGATCTGTCCAGATGTAAGTAGTTGTATAATATACAGTGAATTCTCAAATATCTTCAGAATAGGGTGGTTAATTTGAATTTCAAGTTTTTTTTAAATTTAATCATCCTTTATTAATCTTAAGCTTGAAAAACTGCGTTATCGGGTTGTTATTGAACTGTAATGATTTCTAATATGTAAGAATTATTGTACAATATGATTCGTACAGACCTTCAAAAGACCACAGCTAATTAAAAGTTTACTGTATATATAATATATTATGCATTTTATATTATTACCTAGACTATTATAGGTACTATCAAAATATGTTATATTAATGGTAAGAATGTTTCTGTTTCATTTTTTAGGAAGGACAATGTTTAATCAGTAAAGTGATAATGATGGACCTCGCTGAGTATCCGTTGGCTGAAACTGATGAAGCTATAGCATTTTCTCTACGTTAATCATAAATAGATATTACGGTAAAAAAATTCAAAAGAATATGTATATCATACGCCACCAAATAGGCAATAAGTTAACTATTTTTTTTTTTAAACTTATTATACATTAATAGTCCTATAAGTTTTATTATTCTTTAGTTCTTAATTTTTGTATATTTAATTTAATTACACATTATACTATAGCTTATAATATTTGGTTTATTTAAAGATAAATAGATTCATAAATATAAAATTAATTTTTATTTTATTATAATAATTTTGTTTGTCAAATAAAAAAAAGTTAACAGGTTAATAAGACTTATATTGTAGCTATGAATAAGTTAAATTAAAAAAAAAAGTGTACATTACAAACGTTGGGTCATTTGATTGCCAATATTAACTTGAAGTTCTTCATGGTGACGGTCTTTTTTTAATAGTTTTACCAAAAAATCTTCTCCAGAAATATGATTTGATAACTCCAAATTATTCGTATTAATCTAGAATAATAGGATTACATTAACTTAAATGAATAATATAAAAAATAATTGTGAATACCATCATTAATAAAGACAAATAATATCGAGCAACTTCTACTTCGTCTAACCCTCCAACTAAATCTGTGAACAATTTTTGTTCCCCAATAGATTCAAAACAGCTCAAAATACGTGTTCCGTATTCATGTACATCAAATTCAATCATTTTTTCTTCTTTTTCTAAAATTGGCTTAAGTTTATAATGCCATTCTACAACTCGTCTTTGCATTTCTAACGGTTCATTTGTCTAAAATAATAAATAGGTAATGAAATACAATTTCTTTTTCAGAGTGCTGAATTCAAGTTACCGTCTCCATTATATTTTTTTCATAGTTCTGCATATCTATTGCATTCCTTTGATAAGTTTGGACGTTTTCATTTGATTCTTAAATAAATTCAACAAGTATAAACAACTTGATTTCTTGATTTGAAAAGGCGGCGAGAGTAATTACAAACAAATTTAACTTAAATTGCTTTCTTAGAGAAGATAAAAATGGGGCGGGCAATATTAGATGTACATTTTACAAATTTAAAAAAAACTTCCTAATAGATGTATTATAATTTAAAACGTACCACCAATTCTCAATATTTCTTCCATTTCCTCGTCATGAACTAAGAAATGCAACTCTGTGCCATTCATATGCATAGGTGACATCATTTCTCCATTCTAGAAAATCGTATATCCAAATAAAACATAAAAATGGACCTTAAACAAAATCACTTTTGACGATCCATAGAGATAGAACAATATTGCAATATGGTAGGTAAAATGGTAAGCCGGCTATTATCAAATTGGTTATTTTTAAATGTTTACATTATAATAGGAAAGATGGTTAAAATATATATTATTATTAAAATTCAAAAATAACAATTTAAATTTAAATAATTCTGGTTAAATACCTTAAACGAATCTTCAACTTAATAAAATTAGCTTTCAACTCTGTTGCTATACATTTTTAAATTGTCCATCATAAATAATTTGTTATGATCGAAAATAAAGGAACCAATATTAATATTAGTCATTTTTGAAGAATAATGCCTAAATTCTGCAAAAACAATATGTATGGTATATATTAACTTACTTTTATTTTGAGGTCCTTTTTTTTCACATGGGGCTTATCTGTAAAATTATTACGCTTGGCGTTGAAAACCTGAACTCCAGGATTGTCGTCATTTTGAGTTATTTGACTAACATTTAATACATGTATTGAACTATAAAATAATATGTATAATATATAAGCATGATGAATCATCACAAAATTGTAAGGGGTTAATTACTCAAGTTTATTTACTTTGATGAAATTCTGTTAGGAACGAAAACTTCATTGATATCATTCTGATCAATAATTATCGAGTTGAAAGCAGTTGGAAGAATTTCATCAGCATCCAATAAATTCATCGGTAACTAAATTATTGTAATTAGAATGTTAAAAAAATCATCATTTATTAATATTAATATACCTACTATGTTAGTGTTATTTTGATAATTGATAGGATTTTTAAATGTTGAATCTTCTTTAGTGGGACAATAAAATTCTTCACTTACAGCTAAATCATAATCCAAAGGAAAATTAATCCTTGAAAAAAAGATTTATAAAGTACAAATAGTATGATCACATAATTAGCTATTTTTTTTTATAATATAATTATTCTTACTTAAAGTCATATTTTTTCCCAATATTTTCTTTATTTGCATTACAAATATAAGGCAATATCTTACTGTACTTATTATCTACTTTGATATTGGTGTTCAATACAATTTTTTTTACATGTGGTAATTCCCTCACATTGATTTGCTTGCAGTCAAAATTTTTCACTGTATAGTAAAAGTTCCATATTATTTATGGATAGTAATTTAATAGCAATATGCTATATGGTATATCAACTTACATGTTCCAACAATTTGACCTTCAATTGGTCCAAAAAAAGAAAAACATTTGACCTTTTTACTATTTTTTTTGATTTTATTTTCTACCCTCTTCTCTGCATAATAATCTGGATCAATATTTTCATTTAATCGACTGTTATATCAAATAAATATTTGAATTTAGAATCAAATCATAACATTAAAACAATTATTATTTATGATATCAGCTAGGTATATGTTAAAAATTAGAAGTTTTATTTTTCAAAATCTTTCACTAACAAATAAAGTTACAAAAATATTTTTTAAATTAATGTAAAATATTGAAAAACTTGTTTGCTGAGGACCAAAGGCTACCCCAAGATAGACAACAAATTAAAATTGGAAAAAACTTTTCTTGAAAGAAAATGGACAATAAAATATCACAACTATTGATAGCAATAAAATAAAATAGCAAACAATTTAATTAAAAACAGATTTGTAATTGATTAGTCATTAGTGTACCTGATAAGTCATAAGTTAGTGTCAAATGACAAATTCCAAAATCAAATGGGAATTTTATTTGCGTTCTTTAAATTTGGCTACAACAGAAAACCAGATAGGTAGTATGTTAAAAAGTTACATTATAACTCACTAAGATCGGAATTTTCCAATAAGTTTCATCATGGAACTGATTGTCTCATCAACTCTTTTTTGATAAATAAGTGAAATGTTTTGAATGATTATAGCAGCTTCTACAAAGACTGTGGAACTACCGTTTGGAGATTTTCTCAAGTGATTTGAATACGAATCCAGTTCCTAATATCAAACATTCATAACAAGTATAACATGTTGTTTATTTTTATTTTCCTGTGAAGGTTTAGCATTACCTTAATAAGATCATATTGCATAATTTCACATGAATCTTTTTTTGTAATTGATTCAACGGGTTGTAATAAATTTTTAAATGCTTCGTCAAAATCACTGTCCTCTTGATATTGAAGTATAGACATTTGTGCTGTGAACAAAAATAATTGGGTATGTTATTATTTACATATAGAGTTATGTAGACACTTCAGTTTCCAATTTTAAGAAAGTACTGATTATTAATTTTTTGAAATATTACTTAAGGACATAAATATGAACAATACAAATTCAGAAATTCTCAATAATTATAGTTTCTACTTTCTAACTAATATTAGAATTCTTTTGAATCCTAAAAGGAACAATATTCCTGTAGTATTAAGGTAATGGACAATAAAAATATTATAAGGACAATAAAGGACTGGATATGGGTACGCATGTCGCATACGCACTTCTGGCTTCCACGGATAATGCATTGTAAATTAGAGGTAAGACGTTCTAAAACCATCGGTCTGCATGGGTGAATATATGTAAGTGTACTCACCTCTATAATAAGGAATGTGCAAAAGAATTTTTTCTCCATTCACCTGAAGTCCACACAGGTAAGTTTACCTAGGTAAGGTTACTAACTATGGCGTTGTGACAATTCTTCCTCTCATTTATTCACACAGAAAATCACACAAATCGTACCAATCTGCTCTGTCTTGATCTTCGCGGGGACAGCCTGTCATAGGCCTTAAGCGATTCACCTGACACATGAAAACAACATTAAAAATTATGTGCATCAACCATCGAGTATATTGGATGTGATGCCCAATAATCATTGACGGACAGAGTTGGCAGAGTCCGGCGCCACTCGGTGACAATAATAATTTATTTATTTTTTATTATTCCTGGAATACTACGATATTATTTGCACATTTGCAATGATAACTAGTTAGTATTGATTACTATAAGCATTCGCCGTTATCCAACAATCTTCGAATTACAATATCCATGCATAAAATTAAACGTAGCGAAGGTAGCGAAAATAGAACGCTTGATAAAAATATTACAGTAATAACCGGTAATTTTATTATTGTCAGGTGACGTACACGTGGACACTATATTATTATTATTATTATTATGCACGAGTGTACCTACCCGTGTAAACAATAATTTAAACAATTAAATAGTCGGTATAGGTATCGTGGAACACGATTGAAGGCATAGGTACCAGACATATTAATAGCTTTCACCGTGCTGTGGTGTATGGACGTAAATACCTATATATACGGAATTCGATCGAAACATCCAAGTTTAATTATGCTGAAAAACGTTTATATAAATAAACACTAACATTTTAAAATATCATTTTGCCTACTCAAGTAATATGTGTAAAATGAAGACGTAAAATAGGTAATTCGATTAAGTAGATTAGCAGACATTATTTTATTTTCCAATAGAATTAGCTCAAAAATTCAACTTTAAAGCCTTAGCTTCTAAAATCAATTCAACCTATATAGGTACTCTGTACAACTAATAGTAAAATAAATTAACTACTTTAATAGCAAATAATATAACATTTACCTACTTCTCTTGTCGTTATATGTATATAGTCAAATAATATAACATTATTATAAGATATTGTTATAAATATAATTTTTTTCTTAGCTTTCAACAAAAATTAAAAACTTAATTCAGGGGCAGATTGGGGGTTTGGATATTTCGACTTAGATGATAATATAATAATTAATAATAGGTACCCAGTATTATGTAATTAAATTTTATGAGACGTGCATGAAAGTGTGTCGCATGTCATGCCAATTGAAAGAATACAGAAAATAATTATTGAAACTAGAATTTATAATTCTTATTGAATTTGGCCCTTTGATCTAATCCCAATTTCTCATTGTGCACCATTGTCAATTTAATCGGTATTTTAAGATATAAATTAAAGGGAAGATCAACGAAAAAAAACCAGAGGAATAGTCGCTATGTGCTTTTATAAGAAAAAACATTAAAAAAAAAAACCGCACCACAGCTCGTTTTGAGAAAAGGACCAAATTGCTTATTTAAGAGAATTGTGAAAAAGCTCTTAACTTCATAATCCTGTAACTTGAAAACTAAGTCCGAGCACCAATTTCTGATTTCACCAACGTTTTTTTCGTTATAAAAATGACTAAGTCCGAAAAAATGGTCAAAAAAAGGGGTGTCCGGTAAAGTATAAAAGTTCCATTTATTGTTATTTATAATTAATTAACTATTTTACAGTGGCGTAGCCAGTATTTTTTATTTAATTATTTTTTTTTTTTAGTTGGAAAGGAGGGAGGGCACTGATAATGTGATAACACAGAGATGGTTTAATTGGGGTCGCCCATAAGTTTAGCCTACTGATGGCGAGGTTTTATTTTTGGTCGCGGTTCTTGTACGGCTATACAAATTTGTATTTGCCGTAACTTTCGTAGGTCACAGAAATTATTTTCTTATTTTCTTAAAATGTCGGAGGGGAAGGGGGGGGGGGTTAGGGCTTTTCCACTAATTGCGGTGTGTGCCTCTCCAGCCCAAAAAGTTTGTTCACGCCTATGCCTTACTACTATAGGTACAGTAGTACACTAGTACCTAACACTTAGTATGTATTTTAAGTTATTAATTATGGATAAAAGTTAATATTTGTGAAAGCTAGTAATTGTTAATTGAAAGCTATTTGTAAATTGCAAATATAGCATATCTCATCAAACATTTATTTACACTAAAACTTACTTGTAAATGTACGAATGAATTGGAATGACATCTTCGACGAATGCTCATATTTTCAGTAGTAGAATAAACTCATTAGACACCGATTAGGCAGACATCAATATTATTGAAACCAGTTAAAACGATAAAAAAAAGTCGAGATCATAAATTGCAACTATCGGAAATAAATAAAAAATATTTAATATCCACAGGACACTAATATGGTAAAGATTGGACAGTGCATCATCGACGCACGTGAAAGCTCATAATTATTTCGAAGCTCAAACACAAAGTCGCAGTTAAGTTTCGCTGTCCTTTAAATTTACTTGATTACAATAAATTATTATTTTTGCTATCACAAGTTTTGTGATAATAATATAATATTGCATACGATGTTTGTTTTGGCGTACAAATTCTAAAATTCTCACGTAATATATAAATTATCGCCTAGGCCGTTTGGTTTTCACCGACACCCTCTGATTCTACACGAACCCTTGGAATCCGTTATAATAATTTAATAATAATAATATCATAATGTTTAATGTCTACGAGTTTACAACCTACTATTTAGCAATTAGTAGGTAACATTTTCGTATCACCAATCCAAGTACAACGTGGGTATAATAGATTGTTTGATACTTTGATAATAGCTAACCCGTGTTGTGGTTGAACTTTTCGACGCTTGCGCACAACTTTGGTTCGCGTTCATCGGCAGATAGCATTGCCGTTACGGTTTTTATTTGTATGATTTAATTTCCAGATTTCCCGTTTCCGAGCCAATGACTGATGTGGTGCGCCAACGATGATAACTTCTTAAATCTATAGTGTTTCATACGTGGAGTGAACAAGGGTGAGTGTTAACTGAAATTCTGAGCTGAAATTGGGGCTTATGGTGAGGCAAGACGTATACCTAACCAATAAAAACATTTTTTTGGCTTCATTTCAGTATTCAGTGAGCACTATTTAAGTACACTAAGCACGGGGTACAACTTTTTTGAAATATATGCCTTTGCAGGTTTATCGTTGTAAAAATTGGGTGAGCGCCACCGCCCGCGTATTATGAGGGGGGAATGGGAGATGCAAGGTAGTAAGTGTATTCACTGCCCTCGGGCTTTACAATACTGACTTTCCGGCATGTTTAGATTTATATTTTAATAAAGAATTTGCTGTTTGTGTTATTAATTATAATTTATAATGTACACCTGATTACCCGAGTAACTATATCAGTGTATTATTTTGAATACGAACAACAGCACGAAAATACTTGAATAATCGTATAATTCGTGGTATATTGTTTATTCATATCGGTAATGACCGGCTCGTGGTACTATGGTTAGAGTGTTTAACGTTTTGTCGTTCATGTTTAAACAATTTTAATTATGGGTAGGTATTTTAATATATATGGCTTTATGCCTGCAAGCAGGGCGGCTCCAAGGAGGGGCCCTTAAGGCCGTGGTCCTCTCCCAAGCTCGTATTTATAAAAATTGTATATTGTTAAAAACAACAATTCAAAAAAGTCCTAAAATAATATCGAAAGTTTTCTGAAAATTATGACTTAGGACCTCCCTTCCCCCCAACCATGCCTCTGGAGCCACCCTGCTTGTATGCAAATGTAGGTTCAGTAGGTAAATATAACCAAGGCCATACCTAGGGGAGTACAGAGGTCCAGATTCTCCGTCTCCCAATCCGAAATGTTTAACTTTAAGCTGTGTCCGGTATCCTAGATTTCTCTATGTCAAACAAATATTGGATCCCAACTAAATTTGTTTCCACTTATGGCCTCGGGCCCTGGGTACAACTGCAGTAGCCAGTATAGCTTCAGGGCTGGCGTTAGGGGTGAGAGACCAGGGCTCGCGTCCAGAGTACCTGGTATAAGAGGGTGGGAATTGGAGCCTCGACGAAATTAATAATAACAAATGGAAGAGGGGGTATAAATACATGGTTTCGCCCGGGGTGCCAATAATTGCAGCGCCGACACTAGGTAGATTTTAGATAACTACCTACGCCATTACCGGAACCACGTCAAGATTTGACAAGACTATATTGTTAAGGCGGAAAGGAATGTGTGAAAAATCGCATCAGATTTTTTTCGCAACTAATCATTGTAATATAAATCATGATCTAACAATCGCAAGCGCTATTATTTCAGCCATATATTTCATCGGCATCGCGTTCGCTCTGGTCACGTGGTTACGACCATATATACCTAACCTATTACGCATGGCACGATCACGTGTTCGTCGGTATAGTACGCGTAAGTACCTGAATATGATTAATTTTTGGTTTTCTGGCCTCGCGGACGATATACAATAATATATCTTACGATAATGTACTGCGACAACAATGCACGCGTATAATAGGCGGTGTGCCATAATCGATCAAAAGTCGCATCGATGATCTATATATTATATACATAATGTATTGTCAGGCTATATATATATGTGCCTGTATAAAGGTATACATGCCGCAGTTGAGCAGTTTACTCTCTCGCTCGGTCTCCGCAACCTTATAATATATATATATATTTATTACGGTTTTAACAATAACGCAATTCGTCCAAACGATATAAAGCCAATAAAAAAACAACAAACGAGACTGCAGCAGATGAGGCCGCGGCTTCCGCGACGTGCGGTGTGTCCAGGTGTACGCTTTATCATAAACCAATAAATTTCCAGGCACGTACCCCGCCGAAAATAGGTTACGACGCCTATAGAAAATAAATCCTTAGCCCGCCGCCGCCGCCGATCCCCCTCAACACATATCTCCCCCTCAACCCCCCCCCCCATCGTCGACCCGTCGGTACATTATATTCTCTCATTCCGAAATATTATTATTTATTATATAGTTACCGTATATAGCGTAGGTATATATATATGTGCGGCATGCACAACGGCTAATGCACACATAATAAGACAGATGTACCTCGCCTATATATTATATTGCAGGGTGTATAATGTATATAATATATAAAATATAATGTATAGGTATATATGTATATTTATGTAATATGTATGTGTGTACCTACCTAATATATTATATTATACAGGTATAACGCACTATATTAGGGTCCATATATATAGTAATATGTATATAATGTACAGAGCGATCGCATACTCCACGCGCTAGTACAACATTTTGTTTCCATTCCGATCGATATTATTTAAATGCGATTTTATTCTCGGTTTACACCGCTAGCGAGAGTTTAAAGTCGCAGACGACTAAAGACTTTAGTGTCACTCCACGCTAGATTGTCCTAGACGGCAGGCCGATTTATGATGTATTCAGGGCTAGAATTCAAACAGTTACACAACAATTACGTCCTTTACTCGATGTCGTTCTTCTCACACGAATGTCTATAGGTATAACCGATAACCAATAGTTAACTATGCACTAATTGAAAAAAAATTTAAATCGATTTTTAAGTTTATCAAATCGTGGTTGCTCAAAGTCATATACGCTGTGTTCATACCTAAAATACTGTGAAACTTTTAAGATTCTATCATTATTACTAAGTTTTCAGTGTATACTTAAGTCTAAAAATAAACAAGCTGAATTTGGTGCAAGGAAGCCCTCGCTTGCGGTTCTTTATAGAAATGGTACAACTAAAATTGTACATTTTCCTGGTATCCGGTACAACCAACAGGTAACGAACACCTGGGATTTGTTGTTCATCAAACCAAAAAAAAAAAAAAACACCCCATCGACCATATCATTTGTAAGGCGTTAAAGTTATTGGGTTCCATACGTCATAATAGTTGCTACTGAATATTAAAAACTTGTTCTGCTCTTTAAGCGCTTTATTTAGGGCTCTAACCTTAGGGCCCATGCTCGAGTAAAGTCCTGCCTTCCGTACTTACTTCTGTTGCGTGTCTTGAACTCACAATTATCAGTGTCTAAACTGTAAGTAGTCTCGAGCTCAACAGATCGGGATCGTTCAATGCCAAATTTCTTAGCTCCGCGGGTCTCGAGTTCAAACATTCTCCTCCCCCGCCCCCTCATCTACGACCCCGCAGTAGCTCTTGACCACCAGTCTTTGGCCAACGGTCGATGACTTGCCCGCCGTCTTGTTGAAATCAAATATTACCCAGTCTAAGTTATAATTTCAAACAGTGTCCTCCTGCAGCAACAGTGGTGGGTGGTAGGGGACGTACAACAAACCTACCGATCCATTTATAGTGTGTAATATAGGGTACCACCTAAGCAGCGCGACGGATACTCTGTATAAAAATTAAATATAACATAACGCGTATTATATAATATACAATTTATATTGTACGATTTACGTGTATTCTGTTATTATTATCCATCACCTACCTACGCGCTGTTACCTATATAACAATATATTATTATAATATAATATGCGGATATTGTTATTATTTTGTTGTACATATCATTATTATTATTATTATTATTATTGTTATATATTTTTACGATCCGATTCATTGCGCGTGCGTGTACATATACCTATATAATCACACATAATAATATAGTCCATTGTATATATTGTATATAATGACGGTCCGGCACAGCGACGGCTGCAGTACACGCAGGAGGTTATTTGTCGCGAGCTCTAATTGTTCGGGTGAAATTTTTATGTCACCCATATCATATAAATATGTAGGTACGTAAAAATGTATAGTGACCGTTTCGTTTAATATAATAAAAAAATACTACGTATATAGAACACATGGGTATAATAAATATATACCGTCCCATTCATGCGGCGTATAGTGTCGCCGCCACGCCGCCGTCTTCTTTGCAGTCCATTCAATGCGCCGACCCAAAAACGGTCATCTCACGTGCTGTACATTACATTAATATAATAATAACAACAGCAATACAATAATACGTATAATAACATAGGATAATATAATATACAGTAACCAGCCCCCTCCCCCACCCCCGTACACACGTATAATTGTGCAAATACCAACGGTTATCGCGGCCGAAACGAGTCTTTTTTTTCTTTAAAATTTCTTAAAAATTCTCCGTTCGACACGAAATAGCGACCGACCCGCGTCCCAGTATTTATACAAGTGATGATATCAAACACACTTAATAGGTACATACGTTTAAAATGTAAATACTTAAAATATTAAATATTATATTGTGTACCCCCTTTTCAGATTCTTGACGCATATAATCCGACAGTTGTGTATAATATAATATTATATATGGTTATATACTGTTCATCGGTGGAGGTCGTCAGTGGACTGTCAGGCGACTGCTGCAGTCAGTTCAGATTTTCAGAAAAATGTTAAAATGATCTCGGTGTTCTGTGTCGAGCTTATAGTACGCGGATAGCAGTATCATGTATTCAATTTGTAATTTGAACAAAGGTCGTTGCAAAAGTCTAAAATATTATAAACACCCACAGACCTTCAGCATACCAAACGTATGATGGATTCTAGTCAAGCTCCCCCTTCCCCAAGTTAACCCTGGATTCGCCGCATTGTAATGTTTGATGGAATATAGTATAGTCGAGTGGTAAGTAGATATAGGTACTACTTACTTTCGCATAAATACATAGTCAGGTATGTCAATTTATCACGAGTGTCTACTTATATATATT